CCAAGTTCTTACAATTCCCAGGACCACCGCCTTAGTTGTGGCAGCACCCACAGTGAGCTGGGCCTTCCTCTATCAAGATTCAACCGAGAAAATGTTCCACAGGCTTGCCTATAGGCCAGTGTGGTGGGGCATTTTCTCAATTTAGGTTCCCTCTTCTCAAATGACTCTAGCTTGTGGCAAGTTGACAATAAATACCCAGGGTAGTTGTGTTCTCTCAGTATTTGCTGCATGATTGGATGAATCTAGATGAAAAGAACACTTAACAGTACAGAAATCAGGGTTAACTACTTGGGCTCTATAATCCAGGGCAGCTAAAGTTTTGGATGTTTTGCTTGATAATACTATTAGAGACTTCAAAGGCTGACAGAAATGAAATCATTAGTTAAGAGTGCCATCTGCTGTTGAGAAGACAGCATAACAGTTTATTCTGGTTTTGTGCTCCCATAGAAATAGGAATCCTGAAGTGAAACGCAGTTTGGAGATTGCCTGGCCCAACCCTAACCCCCCCCCACCTTCTTTTTAAATTATGGTGCTGGGAACCAATCCCAGGGCTGCACGTATGCTAGGTAGGTGTGGTGATATATTGTGTCCCCCAGTATATTGTGCACCCTAGTAAACTTACCTGGGGTCATAGAACAGAACAGCCACTAGATAGACATAGAGGCCAGAAAATGGTGGCACACGCACCTTTAATCCTAGCATTCTGGAGGCAGAGATCCATCTGGATCTCTGTGATTTCAAGGCCACACTGGAAACTGAGCCAGGCATGGTGGCACACACCTTTAATCCCAGGAAGTGATGGCAGAAAGCAGAAAGGTATATAAGGCATGAAAACCAGGAACTAGAGGCTTTTTAAGGTTTATTGGCTTTTGAACAGCAGTTCAGCTGAGATCCATTCGGATGAGGACTCAGAGGCTTCCAGTCTGAGGAAACAGGATCAGCTGAGAAGTTGGCAAGATGAGGTTAGCTGTGGCTTGTTCTGCTTCTCTGATCTTTCAGTATTCACCCCAATACCTAGCTCTGTGTTTGTTTTTATTAATAAGACCATTTGACATTCGTGTTACAGGTAGGTGCTGCACACTAAGCTACAGCCTCAGCCTAGCCCTGTCCTTTTTATACAGGAAAGTGAGGTCCAGAAGGGTGAAGGGATGGTGTCCAGGGACCCAGCCAGTTGGTTAGTGGCATAACTGAATGGAGCCAGATGGTAGGAAATGCCCCTAGGCCACAGACAGGATGCACTGGAGGTTAGTGCAGGAAGATCAGCTTGGAGGCACTAGGATGGAGCTAGGGGCCGCAATAGGAAGATGGTCAACACGTTGAAGAGCTGGTGTTAACAGTTGCGGGTGGGGTTGGGGTGGAAGGAGGAAGGAGAGAATGTAAGCGGTAGCTAAGGCTGATGAGGAACACACTGGGCATGGTAGAGATAGTGTGAGATTTGGGCTTGCTGACCTCAGATGGAACTTCAGGCAGAAATGGCAATCCGGAAGTCATCATAGCCGCAACAGTACACCTTTCCTTGTAACATAAGTTAATGGAACCATGAATCCAGATAGCTTTCAACTCTGCATTTGTTTTGGGTAACACTCTACTTGGGCTCATTGGTTTGTTTAACGTCCTTGTCAACATTCCATCTCCTGGCATAAAAGTGGTGCAGCAGTTTTTTCTACTCTTAATTCCTCAATTGCATCTTTAGAGCAGGACGCCACTTGACCCTGCAGGTGGTGTCACATAGCTACACCCAAATGTAATTTTAGAACGGCATCCCAGAAAACTTCACTGCCCTACCGTGACAGCCACAGTAGACGGTGCCACCCTCAGCACCGCTCCAGCCCTTTTCCTTGTTGGCATGGAATACCAGGCCTCTCGTACGATAGGGAGCACTTGAGCTATCCCCCAGTCCTCCCATGTCGCTTCAGAGAAAGGAAAGGCTGTGAGAGAAGAGGGAAGAACACAAAGAAAGGGTTTGAATTCTGGTTACGACTTGTCCCTTGTCAGGACCTTCGCTAGGCCAGAGAAGCCTGTGGCCCCTTTGGAGAAATGCCCAGCTTGAAGAAAGAAGCATGCTAGTTTCCCAAAATAGATCACAAACAATAGAAGATCCATTGCCTTTTGGGGGATAGCTGAGGAAGAGCACTTATCTAGCATGCATGAGCATCCCCAGTACTCCCTTAAAACAGAACCATAACTAGAAAGGCCTATTGACCTTTTGTGGTGTTAATGTAATTTATGTTAATTTAATATATAATTATATGGTAAATATTCCAAATTTGTACATTAAATATATAAATATTTGTATATTAAGTGTGTGTGCATATCACAATACACAATTCCCCAGTTTATCATTCAGTGATACAAATAAAAAGCCAGGATCATATTTTCTAATTCATGGCTTCCTGACATCACTGCTCTGTCAAAGGCCCTGCTGGGTGGGTTGGGAGCTGTGGAAGTAGATCTGGGAGGAATTGGGGAGAGTAGGTAAATATGATAAAAAAAAAATACAATGTATAAAATTCTCAAAGAATTAATTCAAATATCATTAAAAAATCCCACTTATAGAAACTTCAATCTGAGAAGCCCATTCTAGCTTCTGAAATCTGTGCTTATGCCAGACCAGCAAAGAACTTGTATTTGAGACAGAGTCTCACTGTATTCCTGGCTGCCCTGAACTTGCTCTGTAGACCAGGGTGGGATTGCACTCACAGAGATTTGCTGCCTCTGACTCCCAAGTATTGGGATGTCTTAGTTAATTTTCTGTTGCTATGACAAAGCACCATAACCAAGGCAATTTAGAAACAGAATTGTTTAATTGGCTTCAGTTCCAGACGATTGGAGTCCATGATGGAGGAACAAAGTCATGCGGCAGCCACACTGAGAGCTCACGTCTTGATCCACAGTAGGAGGCAGAGAGCGCTCTGGGAAGTGTGCCAGTCAACCTCCCTCAACTAGTCCACGCCTCCTAATCCTTCCCTAACAGTTCCACCAGCTGGGGACCAAGTGTTCAAACATGAGCCTGTGGGGGCTGTTCTCACTCTCACCACCACATGGGAATATAGGCATGTGTCATCACCTATAGCCTTCTCACTTTTAGTAACAATTTAAAAAATGTTTTTATGGGTTGGGGGTTTAGTTCAGTAGTAGAGTGCTTGCCTAGCAAGCGCAAGGCCCTGGGTTCGATCCTCAGCTCCAAAAAAAAAAATGTTTTTATTTTATGTATATGAGCATTTTGCCTGCATGTATGTATATATGTGTGTCATGTGCATGCCTGGTGTCCACAGACACCAGAAGAGGGATTTAGACTCCCTGGAACTAGAGTTACAGGCAGTTGTGACCCACCATGTGCTGGGAACTTAACCCAGGTCCTTTGCTCTACCTCCGAGGTGCTTAGATAATAGGTATGAGAGTGCTGGAGCATGAACTCAGGGCCTCATAACACGCTATGCAGGCACTCTGCCAAGTAAGCTACATCCCCAGCCCCAGAATAACTTAGCTGCTGATTATCAGTGAGCAGTCATCAAACCTTTACCAAGTGCCTGCCGTGGCCATATTATTTCTTACTTGGTGGCATGAGAACTTTTTGCCCCACAGAGTGTTGCCACATCCATAATTTCATCTGATTAACATGACAGCCATGGGTATTCAGTACTGATTTCACTTCACCCCGAGGCCTCTTGTTGGCCTAGGAGACATTTATGATAGTCTGACTTGGCTCTTAAGGTGTTTAGTTGAGCAGATAAATTATTTATGCAAATCAGGGAACTCTGAGGAACTATAGAGCTCATTCCCCAGAGGACATGAGTTTAGAACAGAAGCAGTCATGAGCTGGGCATGGTGGTGCATGCTTTTAATCCCAGGACTCAGGGGGCAGAGGCAGGTGGATCTCTGTGAGTTTTATGTCATAGGATAAAGGCTCTTGCCACTAAGCCTGACAACCTGAGGTCGACCCCTGGGTTCCACATGGTGGGAAGAGAGAGCGAATTCTCACAGATCATCCTCTTATCTCCACATGTGCGGTCCGGTACACGCACATATACACATACACACAGTAAATAAATGTAATGAAATATATATATATATATATATATATATATATATTAAAGATTTATTTATTTATTTATTATGTATACAGTGAGTGTTCTGTCTGCAGGCCAGAAGAGGGAGCTAGATCTCATTGTAGATGGTTGTGAGCCACCATGTGGTTGCTGGGAATTGAACTCAGGACCTCTGGAAGAACAGCCAGTGCTCTTAACCTCTGAGCCATCTCTCCAGCCCCATGAAATATATTTTTAAAATGATAAAGTAGTGGTGGTGGTGCATGCATTTAATCCCAGCACTTGGGAGGCAGAGGCAGGTGGACCTCTGTGAGTTCAAGGCCAACCTGGTCTACAGAGTGAGTTCTAGGACAGCCAGAGATGCTGTTACACAGAGAAACCCTATTTTGAAAAACCAAAAAAGAAAAAATATATAGCTACTATATATATGTGTGTGTATAAATAGCTACTATATATGTATATATATATATATATATATATATTGCTACTCTCAAAGAGATGAATGCAAGATATTATAACAACAAATTTAAGTAATAACTATTCTGCAGTTAATAAAACAGTACTACTTTTAAAGTAGGTGATCAGGGTAGGGCTTCCTATGGAGGCAACTTTCAAATTAATGTCTTGGTCACAAGAAACAGCCAGTCACTGAGCGTGCCAGGGAGAAGGAACTACTCATGCAGTGTGGAAGTGGGATGTTTTCCTAATGCAAGTGAAAGGTGGTCCCTGTGGTTTGAATGGAGTGTGAGTGGGAATGTAGGGTCAGGCAAGCAGGAATGGTAAGGAGTTGTACGTATTGGAAGAGCTCCGAGGTAGTGAATGTTAACTCAGTGTCTCATCGAATTTTCAGAAGCTCCAGAAGATTGATATCTCATAGGAAAATATTCATGTGCACTGTGTGGTGATCATAATGACTCCTTAAGAGAAATCTGCCTGTGTTTCCTTCCACAGCCAGGACGATGGTGTACACAGGGACATGACTCGAGTGCCCCTGCCCACCGAGCTCTACAACTGGGCTGCACCAGAAGTGATCTTACAGAAGGCGGCCACTGTGAAGTCAGACATCTACAGTTTTTCCATGATCATCCAAGAGATTTTAACAGGTGATCGAGGAGTGCATTCCAAGTTAATCAGAGTCCTTATTTTTAGGTTAGAGATTTCCTCCAGGAGTTACTTAGTTTTATGAAAATTCAGAACTTGAGAAAAAAAAATCCTGAAGGATCTCTTTTTGTTTGTCCATTTTTCTGAGATAGGGTCTCTATCATGAATCCCTGGCTGTCCTGGAACTCATTATGTAGACCAGGCTGGCTTCTGCCTCCTGAGTTCTAGGAATAAAAGCATGCACCACTACACCTGGCTTCAAGGATCTTCTTTGTGCTTATTAGATACAAGATAGTTTCCTAGAAATCTCTAACTATTTAAGACTCAGAAAAACCCATATCTGCTTGCTAGTGACAAGGCACTTAACTGAAGCAAAAAATAGGGACTGGTAGATGTATACGTGATGTCACTTGAAAAAAAAAAAGAAAGCCCTTTGAAACCTACATGACTTCAAGTAAAGTACTCATGTAACTGAAGACAAAAGGACTCCTTCATGAGAGAGAGACAGACATAGCCACATGCATACTACACACATGTAAAACCACATTCAAGTGAGGGAGTAGGCCAGAGTCACCTGCCCTTTGGATGTTTGTAATCCCAGAGGCAAAACTACACTCTTGATGACATGAATTCGTGGTCTGTTCAGCTTGGTGGCCAAGCATTGCCTTGTCTCCAGTTCCGGACCCCCATGTGTGCGGGGTGCTGGCGCTGCTGCTCGCCGTCTCTGACATGGATGGATTTCCCTGGTACTTAGGTTAAGTGGCTCCAAGTGGTTTCTCTGTGGGAAGAAAGTAATGTTTAAAAGGGTCCAAGGGACTTGACTAAGTTCTTAACAACTTCTGATTTATTTTTTTCCTTTCTTTTATTTTTCTACATGTTATTCTGTGTTTTTAAATGTTTAATTAGCATATGTTAATTATATATAGTAATTGGTTTCGTGATGAAGTTTTTATACATGTGTAAAATACATTTTGATCATATTCACCCTCATTGCTCTCTTTTATTTTTGATTTTATTTTATGTGTTTTTTGGGTATTTTATGGGTATTTATTTTATGGGTATTTTGTCTACATGCATGTCTGTGCACTTCTTGTGTGCCTGGTGCAGAGCCTAGAAGAGAACATTGGATTCCTGGAACTAAGATTACTGATGATTGTGAGCAGCCATGTGGGTGCTGGGACTTGAACCTGGGTCCTCTGGAAGAGTAGCCAATGTTCTTAACTGCTGAGCCATCTCTCCACCCCCCCTTGTTACCCACTCCTGTCCCCCTCTCACTCATTCCCAACTAGTCCCCTTTCTACTTTCATGTCTGTCTGTCTGTCTCTTTTTTCCATGACCTGGTTAGTTCCATGAGGGTTTTTTACAGTAACATGGGCAAGAGGTTATTACAGAGACATAGGCAACTTACCAGTGGATACAACACTGTAGAAAATCACTGATTTTCTTATGTCTTAATCTTATTCCTACCTTTTCCTTATAGACAACATACCCTGGAATGGCTTGGATGGCTCGGTTATTAAAGAAACCATAGCCTTGGGAAGTTATTTAGAAGCTGATGTCAGGCTTCCGGAACCTTATTATGATATTGTTAAGTCAGGTATCCACGCCAAGCAGAAAAATCGAACAATGAACCTACAAGATATTCGATATATTCTGAAGAATGACTTAAAGGCAAGCCCTGAAATTGGGAGAAGTTGGTTTCTGCTCTCTACTTCATTGGGTTAGAGACCAGGAAGCTAGAGGCCCAGTTTTTCAAAACGTTTGTGATGGAGGACAGTGGTGCATGCCTGTAGATGCATGTGATGCAAGTGCATGGGTTGGGGATGGGGATACTGAAACAGGATCAGGAGTTTGAGATGATCCTGGATTACATAGAAAGTTGAAAGCTAGTGTAGAGGTATGGCTGGGTCTCAGAAATCCTCTTTTTTTTTATACTGTGTTGCTGAGAAAAGCCTATTTGTTTAACTTAGTGAAGGCAGAGAATTTAACTCAGAGAATTTAGAATAGATCCTGGGGAAGTTGTAGGGTAAAGTAAAGATTCAGTGAATGGCAGAATTGGAATAATAATAAACTAGTTAATTAGGAATAATAGCCAGTCTGCCTAATAAGAATAAGGAGGAGGTATCATATATATATATATATATATATATTTCTAAAAACATGGAATTTGGATGACTTCAAATGTGTCCTTGACAATGTTTTGTTATAGGAGTTTCTTGGAGCTCAGAAAACTCAGCCAACTGAGAGCCCCAGAATGCAGAGCTATGAAGCCCACCCTGATGTTAATCCCTGTCTAGGGCTAACTTCAGAATATCAAAAAGACACTCCAGACTTGGACATCAAAGAGCTAAAGGAAATGGGTATGACTTGAACTCACAAAGCATTACTTTGATAACAGTGGGATGACTTGAGTGTTTTGTTTTACATTTTAAAATTGTGTGTGTGTGTGTGCTAGTACATATGTGCCATGGTGCATGTATGGGGGTCAGTTCTCTCCTTTCACCATGTGGTCCTGGGAATCAAGCTTGCCATCAGGCTTAATGGCAAGTGCCTTTACCTACTGAGCCATCTTATTGGCTCTTTTTTTTTAAAGAGAAATTTATTTTATGAGTGTTCTGGCTGCATGTATGCCTGTGCACCAACATCCATGCCTGATGCCCAGGGAATCCAGAAAAGTTATATATATGGTTGTGATTCACCATGTGGGTGCTGGGAATTGAACCCAGGTCCTCTGGAAGAACAGCCAGTGCTCTTAACTAATGAGCCACTTCTCCAGCCTTGTTCTTGGTCTTTTTAAAGTTAGAGTCTCATAGCCTAGGCTGGTCTTGAATGCCCAGTCCTTCTGTCTTAGTCTTCCAAATGCTGGAATTATAGGCAGATGCCGCTATACTGGGTATGTTTACTTTTTGAGAATCACATGGACACGAACTGTCTCTTCTAAAACTGTATATATAACCTATGCTGAAAACAGATGGGTACTTTAGGAAAAAGCCAAGAGCCTTAAAATTATTAAGTTAAATCTTATAGACTATATAAACATGTGGATTATATACAAAACTTAATAGTAACTGAATTTATAGTATGATCACTCATTGGAATTTATCTAACTGCTTAGAAAAGAAAAATAATTTTAAAAAAAGATTTATTTATGTATTTTATGTATATGAGTGATCTGTCTAACTGTACATCTGCACACCAGAAGAAGGCATCAGATTCTATTATAGATGGTTGTGAACCACCGTGTGGGTGCTGGGAATTGAATTTGGGACCTCTGGAAAAGTAGCCAGTGCTCTTAACCTCTGAGCCATTTCTCCAGCCCCACAAAAATAATTTAAAAAATGTAAAAGTACTATCTGCTGACCAGCTGGGAACAGTGGTGTGCACTTACAACCCCACATTTGGGAAGCTGAGATAGGAGTATCACTTGAGTTCTGAAGTTTGAGGTCAATCTTAGCAACATAGGACCTTATTTTTTAAAAGAGCTCATGTCACAACACTCACTTGATACCACCCTGTTACAGTTGAGGAGACTAAAGTTTAGAGAGTTGTGATACTCAGGATTGTAGAGCTTGTTTCAGAATTGGAATTTGGGCCTTTTAATTATAGCCTAATCACTGTTTACTTGGGCTCTCCTCTGACAGGGGTGGAAGCTTCCAGAATGTTCCCTTTCAAATTTTCATTATTTGTGTCCTTCATCCCATTTCCTGGAAGTTGTACCCTTATCAACATAAGTCGTGTGGGTCAGCCCTTGAATTACTCTTGTAGTCATCTATCCTCCCTGTGGTACAGTAGCTTCTTGGGTAGTATCTCCACTACTTGTATCAGATGCCCACCAAAAGCATCCCCTCAGCTGTTTGAGTCACACTATTTAATGCACAAAGGAAGCTATGCGTGTGGTCCTTGGAATCCAGGGGCCTGGAATTTGAATGTTCTGACAGTTAACCACATTGAAAATAGTATAAATGAAGAACATTCTTCTTAGGATTAGACCTCCATAGCCCCAAATGTCTGTCTCATTGGATGTCAAAATGGGAACTTTCACTTAGATTAGAAATACCCTTTCATCCTCTGCTGGCTGGGTGTGATGATGCATGCCTTTAATCCCAGCACTTGGGAGGCTAGAGGCAGAGGCAAGCAGATCTCTGAGTTAAGGCCACCCTGGTCTACATAGTGAAATCATGAGTTCCAGGACAGCCAGGGCTAGGTAAAGAGTCCTGTCTCAAATAACAATAACAAAAAGAAACATCTTTTCATCCTCTGTTGAAAGTATCTATTGATCTTCCAGTAGGATCTCACTCCTGGGAAGGGAGTTGGAAAAATAAAAGATGGTTTTGTAGGATCTCGATCTTGGGAAGGGAGTTGGAAAAATAAAAGATGTTTTTTGTGCCTTTTAAAAAGTTACTGTTGTTTTGTTATTTGAGACAGGCTTTCACTGTATGGTTCAGGCAGGCTTCAAAGTTGCTTAGTCCAAGCTGGCATCTAATTTGAGATCCTTCTGCCTCAGCCTCCCAGATGCTATGGTTAAAGGTGTGTATGCCACCTGACCCAGCTCATGTTGTACACCTTGAACAATAGCCAAGGCTGCTTACCTTTTAGGGTCAGTTTAATCAGTTGGGTATTACTATTGTTTTCAACAGGTAGTCAGCCCAATTCACCAACAGATCCCTCTGTTCCCACTGGAAAAACAACACTAACTCCTCGGGTCCTGGATTCAAGTCTGTTAGTACAGGAACCTGAGAATCCAAATGTTCCTTCTCTTCCTGCTTCGTGTTTGGCAGAAGAGGTCAGGAGCCCCATGGCAAGTCAGGCCAGCCTCTGCAGCTTTGAAATCAATGAAATCTACTCAGGCTGCTTGGACTTGGGAACTGACAAAGAGGAAGAGTGTCCAGGGACTGCTTCATCTCCTGAGGGGGATAAGCCAAACCAGGTAGATGAACTACCGTCCCTGGAAGAAGAGCTGGATAAGATGGAGAGAGAATTGCATTGTTTTTGTGAGGAGGAAAAGAGCTTTTCAGAAGTTGACACAGACCTTTCCTTTGAGGATGGAGACTGGCAAAGTGATTCCCTCAGTTCACTCAGCCTATCTGAACCAACCAGAGAAGACAAAGGCAAAATGAGCAGCTGGTCCAAGACTGACGAGCACGTCAGTAAGTGTGTGCTGAATCTAAAGATTTCACAGGTTATGATGCAACAGAATGCTGAGTGGCTGAGGAAACTTGAGCAAGAAATAGATGAACTTGAGTTGGCACAGAAGGAGCTGGACAATCAGTGCAGGAGTTTGCGGGATGCTTCATTAAGGTTTGCGAATGCCAAGTTTCTGTTGGCTGTGGGCCCTCCATCTTTGACTTACCTTCCTCCTCTTATGCAGTTATCAGAGCCCAGGCAGGCAGAAAACGGCCATTATTGGTCGGCCCTAGCAAGGTGTCCAGGAACCGAGAGAGACTTCCAAGAAGGACATTTTGGCAAAAATCCTGAGAAACTAAGTGACTGTGGCTGGAAGCCTTTCACACAAATTTCTGAAGAAAGCAGCGGGGACCAGTCAGAGACAAACGATCAGGTACAGTAAGTGGGTAGAAGGAGCGGAAGGAATCCTGGAACCAACATTTCCTGTGACCTGTGTGCAGCGCCTGTAAATAAATGCAGATAACTCATAGCAAAGTCCTCCTGGGTTAGGAAATAAGGCCTCTATGATGGAATTCTATGGTAGATATTCTCTCTAACCCCTATTCCAAACCAAGCACAAAGCCTTTGTCCTCTATAGATTCAAATGTATTAAGTTCAGCTATATGAAATTTCTGTTTTATAGATCAGTTAAGTACTAGCAATTTGACATAGTTCAAAGTATATAAAGTATTGTGGACAGGTGTTAATCCCCATTTTAGGGGCTGGAGATATGATTAAGCACTTGCTGCTTTTGCAAAGGACCTGGGTTCATTTGGCAGCACCCACATGAGTCAGCTTACAACTACCCTTAACTTCAGTTCCAGGGGATCCAGTGCCTTCCTCCATATATACATACACTCAGGCCCACACACTTTAAAAAATGCTCAATTCTAAATTGCCCATTGAGTTATTTAAGAAATATTTATGTGGAACTGGGAAGATGGCTCAGCAGTAAAATGTCTGCCAGATAAGCATGAGAACTTGAGGGTGATCTCCAGCACTCATATTTAAAAAAAAAATCAGTCATATTAGTTTGTACAGGACAATCCCTGGAGCTCACTTGCCAACTAGTCCAGCTGAATAGGTGAGTTACAGGTTCAAGGGAGATACCTTGTCTCAAAAAAGGTGGAGGGGCCTAAAGAGATGGCTCAGGCATTAGGAGCACTGGATGCTTATCCAGAGGACCCAGGTTCAATTCCCAGAACCCACATGGCAGCTCACAACTGTCTGTAACTCCAGTCCCAGGGGCTAGATAACCTATTTTGGTGTCTGTGGGTACCAGGCATACACATGATGCACAGACATACAGGCAGTCAAAACAGCCATACACATTAAATAAATAAATACATATATAAGTAAACAATTAAAAAGTGGAAATTGAGGAGATACCCATTAATTGATACATGTGCTTGCATGCTTGTGCGTGCACACACACACACACACACACACACACACACACACACACACACACACACGGAGGGAGGGGGGAGGGGGTATAAATAAAACATTTATAAAGTCAGAGGCTACATTAGAACCTGGCATATAATGGTGAATAAGCCACAGACTATGCCCATACTTACACACTAGTGTGTTTTAACTTAAACACAGAGGGTGTGAGGAACCTGCTTTTCAAAGGAGACAGTTAAGTAAAAATAAACAAGGTATCCCAGGAGCTGAAGGTGACATTGCAGACCGGTTCTTCTGTGGTTCTTTAAGGACATAGTTGAGGTATGACTCCTTCTGTATCCCAGTACCCAGTATGATGCTTGATAACATCAAAGGCACTTAATAAATGATCACTGAAGAACGAGAGAATGGATGAATACATAAACTTGAACAAATTCACAGAGAGATGAGTGGAGTGCCTCTTGAGTCACACTTGAAGAGCTGGAAGACCCACCCACACACCAGGCATGCACCAACTCCCTCCTTTTACAGAGTGTGAGTTCAGGCCCAGTGACTGGGATTTCCTGAGGCCTGGTGGTGTAACTGAGATGGGGTAGAGTAGTGGAGGTCCGCTCCACTGGGAGAAAGAGTTTAATTCTGAAAGAGCAGAACTGCTAGCTAGACTAGCTTATATTGAGTTTTCACTGTTAAAACCTTTGAGTGACAGTGTAATCCTTCATTCTTAGTTGGGGCAGATAGCTCTGTGCCTTGCCCGTTAGCGGGCTGTTTTCTTGCTAAGATCCAACCTGCTTGCTGCTCTCCTCCCTCTCTTCCCCACCCCTCTCTCTAGCTATGGCTTTTTGTTTCATTTTTGTCCTTTTGAGGGTATTACTATATAGCTCAGACTTGCCTAGAATTCTCTATACATCCTAGGTTGTCCTTGAACTCCAAATCCTCCTGTCTTAGCCTTCCAGGAGCTGAGATAATAAGTATGTACCACTATATATACTAGCCAGGGTCTCAGTATATAGCCCTGACTGGCCAGGAACGCCTATGTAAATCAGATATACTTCATTTTTAATGATTTCTCTCATTTTATTGGATCTTGATACCATCCCCAAGCTCTGGATTTGTTGCTATAAGCTAGGAAATGATTAGCTAAGTTAATTAAAATGAAGTAAAAGTTGGGATAAGCAAATATCTGTCTTTTGAATGAAGGATATAGCGTTATTATTTTTTATTTCCGCTATTTGCAAAGTATTGTAACTTCTATTATATTTTATTTTCACAGCACCCTACTAGTAGTTATTACCTTCATTTTATGGATGATGAAACTGAGCTAGAGGATTTATGCATTATTTTCATCAAGGCTTAGACTGGAATCCAAGGTTTAGTGGTCTTGCCATGAAAATCCCCGCCTTTATGTTGCTGTAGGAGAGAAATATTTAGCAAAGTTTTTAAGTTTCTTTTTTATTTTTTTTATTTTTTTTATTTTTCGAGACAGGGTTTCTCTGTGTAGCTTTGCGCCTTTCCTGGAACTCGCTTTGAAGACCAGGCTGGCCTCGAACTCACAGAGATTCGCCTGGCTCTGCCTCCCGAGTGCTGGGATTAAAGGCGTGCGCCACCACCGCCCGGTTAAGTTTCTTATCTATCTATCTATCTATCTATCTATCTATCTATCTATCTATCTATCTATCTATCTATCTATCCATTCATTCATTTATTATTGGTTTTTTGAGACAGAGTTTCTCTGTGTAGCCTTGGCTGTCCTGGAACTCACTCTGTAGACCAGGCTGGCTTCAAACTCACAGAGATTTACCTGCCTCTGCCTCCTGAGTGCTGGGATTAAAGGCGTGCACCACCACCGCCCGGCTTCCAGGTATTTTTTTAAGGCAAGGTTCCATTGTGTATCTTAGGTTGGCCCTGAACTCACCATGTTGTCCTGTAGTACAGGCTGACCTCAAACACACAGCCATCTTTGTGTCCCGGACTTAGAGATGTTCACCACCACACACAGCTTCTGGTTCTGTTTGATCTACTCGTTTTCTGCTCACCTTCTGTCTGCACTGGGCTGGGTTCTCGCACTCCACATTCCTTAGTAAAAACTTCTCAGTTACTAGATAGGAAACATGCAAAGGAAATGATCATAAATTGCTCTTGTTATTTCTACACACTTAGCCAAAAATGATTTTGAAAATAGAGTATGAGTGTGAAAAGAAAAATTCACCACCTAAAGCATTGAAACATGTTTGTTTTTTTAAGCTGCCAACTGTTTGTGGTCCTGGGAAGCAGAACACAGGTGAGCAGTTACCATCCACCCAAGAAGCCAAGGAGAGTTTGGAAAGAAATAGAAGCCAAAACAGTAGGAGGTGGGTTAACATTTACTGTTTTTTGTGTTGTATGCCTTTATATTCTCATGTGGCCTTAGACCACTTTCTGACCTTAATATATTGGTGACAAATGGATTGTGAATAATGAATAAAAGCAATGCAGAAACAGATTGTAATGGAAACTTACAGAAGACATCACAAGCAAAATGGATGACAGGTTAAATCAGACAGAATTCATCAACAGCAATAATAAAGCATTTTGCCTTTCCAAAATTCCCTAGATAATTTAAAAAATTTTATTATTATTATTATTATTATTATTATTATTTTAGAGCTAGGCTTTCACTATGTAGCCCAGGCTGGCCTGAAACTCACTGTGTAGACCAGACTAGCCTCACACTCACAAAGCTCTACATGGCTCTGCCTCTCAAGTGCTAGGATTAAAGGTGTGTGCCACCATGCTGGAATACACTTATTTTTATTATTTTTTAAACAATTTATTTTATTTTATGTGCATTGGTGTTTTACCTACATGTATGTCTGTGTGAGGGTGCTGGATCCCCTGGAACTGGAGTTATAGACAGTTGTGAGCTGCTGTGTGGGTGCTGGGAATTGAACCCAGGTCCTCTGGAAGAGCAGCCAGTGCTCTTAACCTCTGAGCCATCTCCAGACCCATTATTTTTTTTTAATATTTATTTTTATTTTAAGTGTGTGGATGTTGTGCCCACATTTATGTGTGTATGCCACATGTGTACAATACTCATGGATTCCCTAGAACTGGAGTTATAGATGTTCCTTAACCATTGTGTTGTTGCTGGGAACTGAACTCCAGTGGTCTGCAAGAGTAGCAAGTCCTCTTAATCACTAAGCCATCTCAAGCTCTTTTACAGTTAGTGTGTGTGTGTGTGTGTGTGTGTACACCACTGCACTCCTTCCCAAATAAATGAAAATGTAATAAAAAAAAAGTATGCAAAAGCACATAGTGGCCCATGCCTGTGATCCCAGCAGTTTGGAGGTAGAGGTAGTTTAAGGCCAGCATGGTCTATGTAGTGAGTACCAGGCCAGGCAGGGCTACATTGAGACTCTGTCTAAAAACAAACAAACAAACAAAACAAAACAAAAAAGGGGGCTGGAGAGATGGCTCAGTGATTAAAAGCACTGGCTGCTCTTGCAGAGGACCCGAATTCAGTTCTCAGCAACCACATGCAGCTCACAACCATCTGTGACTCCAGTTCCAGGGGATCCAATGGCCTCTTCTGGCTTCTGCAGGCACTAGGTACCTATGTGGTGCACAGACATATGTGCAGGCAAAACACCCATATACATTTAAAAAATGCCGGAAGTAAGGTATAGTGACTCATGCCTATAATCTCAGCACTAAGGAGGTAGGGCCATTCTGGGCTACATAGTAAGATTCTTTAATAAGATAAATAAATAGGGCCTGGAGAGATGGCTCGGTGGTTAAGAGCACTGACTGTTCATCCAGAGGTCCTGAGTTCAATTCCCAACACCCCCATGGTGGCTCAAAAACATCTGTAGTGACATCTGATGCCCTCTCCTGGCATAAAGTCTTAAGTGCAAATAGAACACTCATACATAAAATAAATAAATCTTTAAAAAAAAAAGATAAATAAATAAATACATATATTTTACTCACCATGCTATGCTATTTTAAAAAACTTATGTAAACTTATTTTGAAAAAATTTAATTTTTCTCATTGTTGAGTTTTAGATTCTGGTTTTTTTAATTCTGTTGGAAACAAGGTCATAGTGACTTTAAAAATGAAAATGTAATAAAAATATGCAAAAGTATAGCACAGTAGCACTTATCTTTGATTCCAACACTCGGGAGGCAGAGGCAGGCAGATCTCTCTGAGTTTGAGGCAAGCCTGGTCTACAGAGCAAGTTCTAGGATAGCTAAGGCTATACAGAGAAACCCTGTCTTGAACACCCCCCCCCCCCCCCCCCCCCCCCCGCAAAAAAACCCAGAAAAAACTAAAACCCAGTTTTTTCTGTACTTTTGATTATGTATTTAGGAGTTTCCCATAAGCAGAATTATTAGGTCAAAGGCTTTGAACATTTTAAAATTCTTTATAGATGTTGCCAAAAAGCTCTTGAAAGCAGCTGTCAGATCCAAGCTCTCTTTTCTGGTCCAACTAGGTAGTGGTGCATTCTGGGCAACAAGGATTTCATAGCTGTGCCACAGATCACATGCTTTTTGTTGTTGTTGTTTAAGATAAAGTTTCTCTAACACTTCTGGCTGTCCTGGAACTCACTTTGTAGACCAGGCTGACCTAGAACTCATAGAGATCTGCCTGCCTCTGCCTCCCAAGTGCTGGGATTAAATGCGTGCACCACCACTGCCCAGCTTGACCACACATTTTTAAAGAGTTATTTTATGTATTCATCATTACTATTATTGCTGTTATTATTTGAGACAGTATTTTACTGTGTAGTCCTGGCTGGCCTGGAGCTCACAAAGATCTGCCTACTCTGCCTGTAGAGGGCTGGGATTAAATGCATGTGCCACCATGCTCAGCCCTGAAGAGTTATTTTAATCAATGGCAAAATGGTTATAATCATGGGATATTTAGAGGAAGAAAGACTGCTCTAATTTGCAGATAAAACAGTTTAGTTCAGAGAGACTGATATTCACTAATGCAAGACAGGTGACCTAGCAAGCAACCAGGATCCAGAACCCAGAGAAACTGTTCTTCAGGATACTTGTGCCTTAAGATCCTTGTTTCAAGTGTTAGCTGTTGTGCTGTCACCAATAAGGTGGCCTTGTCACCAGAGAACCTTCACATGAACTGTCAGTTGTGATTTGTCTCATTGAGGGCAGGGTAGACTTGGCTATAGTGAAGGACAGATTTTGTCGGATGAAACTGTTTCAGTTTTCAGTTTCTTCTACTTCTGAGAATCTCCCAAGAACATTGTTAGAATCATAAATTATGAATTTGGAAATTAATAAAAAATAAACAAACCTGTGGGGATTTTTTATCCCAACCTTTAAATTTTTCAGCCAGGAAAAATCTAGGGAGTCAAGTATCCAAGTCAGGAGTTACTCAGCTAAATAGTGCACCCTTCCCTGAGTCAAACCACTCATGGAGACCTGGGTCACCCAGGCCTCAACAGGGCTCTGCCAGGTGTGGGGCCTTACAGTCTGAGATGGTGGGGCATCGGGTGCTCTCTGGTGGTGAGTCAGAGTGGGGAGGGGTTCTGGATCAGCTGGTGGACTTTGAACTATTAGGAACTTGAACAAACATTTTATTTGTATCTACCTCAATCCTACCCTAATGATGCAACAACTTAGGATCAGTATGGAATCTGTGTCTTCTGAAATCTATAATACAAAATCAAGAAATAATGAAGATGATGGAGAGGCATACTTAAAATGGAAAAGTGAGTATGAAGTCATGAGTTTTTTTTTTAAGATAGTATTTATTTATTTATTTGGATAGGATTTTAGGATTTCACTATGTAGCTCAGGCTGGCTTTAAACTAATGATCCTCTCAAGTATTAGGGTTATAGGCAGGCAGTACTGTGCCTATCTGATGAATGAAATTTATAATTCTTGATTGTCATCAGTTTTGTTTGTATTATGGTTCTGGGGATTGAACCTAGGTATTATTCATGCTAAGCAAGCACTCTACAACCAAGCTACACCACCAGCACCTGTTTGGTATCTCTTAAGTATAAAACACATGTCTTATTATTAGGATCATAAATAACACTATTGTTTACACACACACACACACACACACACACACACACACACACACACACACCATCCTATAATAAAAGCACAGCTCTTGTAATTGCAGACCGTAGAAGGAAAATGCTTTTCTATTTTTAAACTTTGTAGGAAATATTTCTATTATCTGTATAAATATATATTATATAACACATAGTATACCCCTCAACATTAAAATGGAGAGTGTGCAGTGTTATCTCACATATTCTGTAATACCCTTTTTTCTTTTTCTTTTTTTAAGATTTATTTATTTATTATGTATACAGCATGTATGACTGCAGGCCAGAAGAGGGCACCAGATCTCATTACAGATGGTTGTGAGCCACCATGTGGTTGCTGGAAATAGAACTCAGGACCTTTGGAAGAGCAGTCAGTGCTCTTAACCTCTGAGCCATCTCTCCAGCCTCCCCTGTAATACCCTTTTGTTATGGTCTACTTGGTGTGCTATCTTCTCCCAAAGATTTGGGCTTAGTGTAGTCTAGAAAAATAAGGCAGATGATAATTAATATAGCCTGGGAATTTCAGATATTATTTTCTCATTAAATTAGTAGTAGGGTCCATCTACAAGTGCGCTACTGCTTTCTACTGGAATTCAGCAGCATAGGCTATTGTTTAGGGTAATAACTGGAGTTTCCTATACTCTGTCATAGCTCTCATCCCCTCCCCTTAAAGGCAAACAGGCAAGATAAGGGTGATGAAACTACCAAATCAATTACTGTTACAATATGGTGGAAGTAGTATTGTATCTTTTAAGGTTGAAAATGTTTCTTTCTAATGTTTACAGTGATGTTTTAAATGCTTTTCTCTCATGCCCAGTGGCAGTAAAAGAAATGGCAGAGAAAGCAGTTTCTGGACAGCTCCTAGTACCTCCTTGGAGTCCTCAGAGTAATTTGCCTTTTGAGGATAAGGTTGAAAATGAGGCCACTCATTTGCCACGGCCCCCAGTCAGAGGTCCTGAGAGTACATATTGGCAGCACATTGTAGACTATCAAAGGAAAAACGATGAGCTGAGAGGAGATACGAAGTTTGGCAAAATGGACAGCAGTGACTGTGACAAGAACAAGCCTAGCAGACAGACAGGCCTTCAGAGCTTCACCAGTAAGTCCACTGGGAGGAGCTGGGTTCGGTGAGCTCTGTCTCCTTCTCAGCTCTCAAAATACACGTGCTTCTTGCATATTCCCTTTGCTTGGTCCTGTCTCCTACTTTTCTGAGAACCAGTGTTTAAAGGTGAAGAGATCCATTAGTTTCCCTTACTGAAACAAGGTCCTTTTGTCCAACGGAAGTAAAATAATCTCCAAGTGCTGACCTTGGTCCTGGTCTAACCTGGTAAGGGATAAAACCTTTCTTACTCGAGGGTGGAGGTGAGCTATCATTCCCTATTGAATATTTCTTTGTTTTTGATACAGGCCCTTGTTGTGTAGCCCAGGCTTACCTGGAACTTGCTAACCTGTGTAGCCCAGGCTTACCTGAAACTTGCTAACCTGCTTCCTCAGTCTCCTGGGTGGTGGTATTGCAGGTGTACGCCATCACACCCAGTCTGCTTTTTTTCTTTTCATTGCATTTTAAGTTGGGAATCAACCTGCTGAGTCCATATGGCACTTACTGTCATTGAAATGGTTCACAGTCAGATCATCAAATAATAATTTCACAGACGTTGAAGTCAAAGAAAAGAGATCTGAAGTTGACACTTAGCTTTGCAGAAAATCAATTGGTTTCTTCTCTTTGTACTTCTGTGAGAGAGAGAGAGAGAGAGAGAGAGAGAGAGAGAGAGAGAGAGAGAAAAGAAAAGAGAAGAGAAGAGAAGGGGGAAGGGGAAGGGAGGGGAGGAGAGGAAGAGGGGGAGAGAGAATCCAGAGGACATGGGTCAATGGGTAAAGTGCCTGCTGTGCAAGCATGAAGCTTGAATTCAGATCCCCAGCACCTAGGTAAAATTCAGGCATAACTAACAGCATCTGTAACCCTAGTCCTAGAAACCACAGGTAGATCCCTAGAGCATTCTGAACACATAATCCATGCAATCTGTGAGTACCAGGTCCACTGAGAGAATGTCTCAAGAGATAATGTGGATGTGTTGTAGGTTATTTGATCACACTGTGAACCCTGAGATTTCATTACTTACTGGAAAAACCTGCCTCTGGCTGTGGTATGGCCCAGTCCTAGTACACATGCTTAATCCAACAGCTTTCTGTAAACAGGATTAAATAAAATCAACCATAGGTCAAGAGGCCGAGGAAGCAACTAGTTGACACCAAGTGGCCGTAGAGAGTAAGAGGGAGTCAGGAAGACGGATAGATGCACAGAAAGTAGTAGTAGGGAGGGCTTTGAATTTGGCAGTTCTTTTTGGTTTGGGATAGCAGAAGAGAAGCTCACTTTTTGGGATGTTGGTGAAGGAGGAAGGTCAGCTGGCTGCTTTCTCTGCCTCTGTGAGCTAGCAGGTTTTCACACCAGCATCTGGCTCCCTAGTCTTTATTGGTAGTATAAAAGGATAGAGATTTAGTTAAAACAGCATTTAGGGGGCCAGGCAGCAGCTACAGAGGCCCAGTCAGTAGCTGAGGCAGCAATAAGATCAGGTGTCGCCATTGTGCTATAGATATAAAAAAAAAAAAAAACAGCAGAGATGGATAGAGGAAAATACCCAGCATTTGCCTCTGACCTTCACATGCATTCATGTGTACATGCATGTACATGTGTAGCCATATATAATACTGCACATACGTGCATAGACCAAAAAGAGAAAAGAAAAGCCATACAGAGTAGCATACATCTATAATTGTAAAACTTGAGGCAGGAAGCTTAGAAGTTCAATATTACCCTCAGCTGTATAGCAAGTTCCAGGCAATCCTAGGCTACATGAAGTCCTGTCCCAGACAACCAAACCAATCAAACAACAGCAACAAGGGAAAATCAATTGCTTGGGGTTTTGGGTATTTAGAATCTATTCTTCATCAAGAATTGCTTTTTGCCCAGCAGTAGTGGTGCACACCTTTAATCCCAGCACTTGGGACATAGAGGCAGGTGGATCTCTGTGAGTTCAAGGCCAACCTGGTCTACAGAGTGAATTCCAAGACAGCTCGAGCTACACAGAGAAACTCTGTCTCAAATAAAAAAAAAAAAAAAGAATTGTTGCTGACTGCATGGTCAAATGGCTAGATGATCCAGGGCTACATTTTGAGACCAGGCTAAATTAACAGTGTCTACTTTATCTATGCAACTTAGAGAATTTGGGTACCCTTTGAAGAATATGTTTATATCTCCATTCTATTGCTACTTTTTGCCTTTTTCTGCTACATGAATATCACTGAATGATTGTATCCCTGACTATGTTATGATCACTAGGTTTTAGATATCCATTCTTCAGAAAACATGAGCAGCCACAGCATAGTGAAGTCTCTCAAGCAAGTTGTGACACATCTGTGGGTACTGAGAAATTTTACAGCGTAAGTATTATAACTTGGCAGGACCAAGAAGCACTCAAGGATCTAATAAAGTAGACCTGAGTTGCTGCTGTGTATTATGACATCAAAATATTATCTATACAAGTTAGATATACTAACTCTACAGGGCTACAGTCACTTAAAGAGCATAGACAGCATTCAAGGCCAATCATGACCCTGTCTCAGAAACCCCCACAAAACCTAGAGGGGTGTGGTACAGATAACTGTTGACAGTGATACAATATAAGAATATGATTGTAGGTGGATATTCCTGTCCTGCCAGCCAGCTCCCAAATAACCACACGGAGACTTATTAACTAAAAAAGCTCAGCCATAGCTTAGGCCTGTTACTAACTAGCTCTTACAACTTAAATTAACCTAATTCTTTTAATCTATATTATTTTTGTTTGTTTGGTTTTTTGAGGTAGGTTTTCTCTGTGTAACCCTGGCTGTCCTAGAACTTGCTCTGTAGACCAGGCTGGCCTAGAACTCACAGAGATCCACTTGCCTTTGTCTCCTGAGTTCTGGGATTAAAGGCTTATGCCACCACCCAGCATAATCTATGTTGCTTTATGTGGCTAGGTTACCTTTATTCTGTATTGCCCATGCTGCTTCCTCTGTGTCTCCTGGCATCTCCTCACGACTCTACCCTTCTTCCCAGTTTCTCTCTGCCCTGAAAATCCTGCCTAGCTATTGTCCATTCAGCTTTTTATTAAACCAATCCTAGTGACAAATCTTCACAGTGTACAAAAAGGTTATTCCACAACATTTTCCACTTTTTGTCTAAATAAAAAGGAAAGGTTTTAACTCTTAACATAATAAAACTATAAACAATAAGACCAATTATCAGGTCAGAATTACATTTATAGTGTCTAGTCTATTTGTATTTGGCATATTTGGAGAAAATACTCCATTATTTATTCTATCTTAATGAGTCCAAAGCTCTGTACCTAATTTACCTTTTATCATAACTAAGGAAAACTATGACTATCTAGTCTTCAACTCCATCAAAGACCCCAGAAGGATATAATATTATCTGAGTAAACAGGAAGTGTAATGTAAGCCATTTCCAAACCTATAGAAATGACAGACATCTGGCTGCCTGGACAGTCACCCAAGGTTCCTCTGTAATGTTGGGACATGTATCTTTGGCCTACAGGCCTAGAATATCTGACAGACTTTTTTGTAAAGCAGGAATTTTTTAAGGACTGTCCTACCCTGTCTTGGCAAAGTTCAGCAGTCACTTTTCTTTGCATCCTGCTGGTCCAGTTTGGACAGCATACTGTCAGCAGTCAAGGAAAGGGCAGTTTCTTGCCTCAATGGCTAGCTTTTTCAATAAAGAAAGCAAACTCCATAGGAGGTTCTTCAAAGCCCACCATCCTGGCAGTAAATGGGTGCTGCCAGGAGCAGACATGTCTCACTGTCATGAAAAGCCTTATGTTATTAAAACATCTTAATTGCCATCTTCTGTAAATCTCTGAAGTGTTTGAAGACCCATCTATCTATCTAAAATATGTCTCTGTATGACCTTGAAAACATACCTAATATGACTACAAGTTTGATTGTTATAGGTGACAATAACTACTAACTTGTATTTTTTATTATCATAAATAGTTTGTAATAATAACTTTCAAGGACTAGAAATTTATATTACATTGTTAAATGAGCTGTATAGGTACAATACTTTAAACAAGAGTAGAAATGTATGTACAGTATGTTTTAACAAAATAACCCTAAATTTGTATAAATATACAAAAATCCATACCAATGTAAAAATATTTTAGACTACTGGTTGTTTAAAAGTAGACTCAACTATCCACCCTTTTATCTCATCATTTATATGCTATATCCCTCTTTTTCTCTTTAGAAGCAGATCTTTGACTCTAACTCCTGTTTAGCTTTTTTCCTGACATTGACCAATAACAACTTGTAACTGATGTTCCTAAATGATAGCAAACATCTATAACCCATGGAATGACCAAAAGCCATCTACCTCACCTCTTGGGAATGTGGGCATCATGTTCTCTAGACTGCTTCATGTTGTCTGGAGGCTCTAGCATCTTAAGGAGACCCTAGGAAAATTGGGATAATGGTCAAGTCCTGGGAAAGTTAGCTGTATTATTTCTTGTCCAGTTTCTGTGCAATGGTAAAGTTTAAGACTTATCTGAAGTCCTGGCTGGAGTAGTCTGTGAGCTTCAAGTCAGCAGCCTTGAAGCTGTTCTGGATGCAAAACTCTGAGGAAACTGCAACAGAGGCACTGTGAGAGGCTGAATCACCTGGGCCACCCATTTTCACTGGTGTCTGGTCCCCTTGCTCTGAAAACACATAAACTTTCAAAGATAACGTACATATCTACATTAACACAAGTATGGAATGTGTGGTGTGCACAAGTCAGTTAAAGATATTTTTTGTTTTATATTTGAGCAGGTATAGTCATCTGTCAATTTTATAAATCTGTTTGGACTGTATAATCAAACTGTAATAGAAATCTCTATCCAAGCCATATGAAAGGATGGCATGTAATAATAAGTTATTAGGACTCTGCAGCCAACATGATTTATCACGTCTCATTTCATCTCAGAGCTGTTCCCATGTCAAGGGACCAGCTTACATGTCATCTGTCTTTATTGGCTTCCTCCCCTGTGTCTGTAGCCAAGATACCCAGGAGGTCTTTCCTGGTCAATTTTAATCTCTGTTAATCTGGAAGGAATCCACAACCTTTTGTTTCCTGTGGAAACAAAAGCATAATCTCTCTCCCAATGCAACACATTGTCCAACTTTCATTTTGAAGTTAAGACATTTAAAAATATATATAGGTTGGTTTAATTTAGCAGTTTCTATCCAGTGTCTCTCAGCAGCTATTGTTTTTTATATATTAGCATTTAAAAATTTAAAGTTAGGGGTTGGGGATTTAGCTCAGTGGTAGAGCGCTTGCCTAGCAAGCACAAGGCCCTGGGTTTGGTCCTCAGCTCTGGCAAATAATTAAAAAAAAAATTAAAGTTAATAAGACATCATATAGGATCCAGACTCCCTGTGTATTTTCCATCCTTACATGGCTTATTTTTTTATTTTACTTTATATTTTCTTTAAAGACTTTATTATAAACTATTTACTTTTTTCTATGTCTGTCTAATACTAATTTTTTCTTAAGCCTACGTACATTTTTTTAAACACACTGCATCCTGTTTAGAGTCTTTTGCATCTGGATCTGTCTTTACTGTGTATCTGTAACCTTTTCTATCTGCATGAGCAAAACCTTAGATTTGCCACGTGGCTTGGCTCATGGTGCACTGGTGGCTCAAGCAGGCAGGCAGCTGCCAGGAGGTGTGTTTGGCTCCGTTTTTGTGTGTTTAGAACCTTTTATTAAGCTTTCTCATGTCTTATGTGGATATACGTGGCCCCATATTAGGTGTCATTTGTAGGCAGATATTTCTGTCCTTCCAGCCAGCTCCCAAATAACCACATGGAGACTTATTAATTATAAAAGCTTGGCCATAGCTTAGGCTTGTTACTAACTATCTCTTAGAACTTAAATTAACCCATTTCTTTTCATCTACATTCTCAGTTACCTTTATTCTGTATTGCCTATGCTGCTTCCTCTGTGGCTCCTGGCATCTCCTCACGACTCCACTTTCTTTCCAGTGTTCTCTCTGCCCCAAAAATCCTGCCTAGCTATTGGCTATTCATATTTTTATTAATCAATCTGAGTGACAAATCTTCACAGTGTACAAAAAGATTATTCCATAACATATGGTTGTGATAAAATATGATTTTTTTAAAGTTGAATTTTTTAAAAAAGATTTATTTGTTTTTATGTGCATTGGTGTTTTGCCTGTATATATGTCTGTGTCAGGGTGCCAGATCCCCTGGAGCTGGAGTTATAGACAGTTGTGAGCTGCCATGTGAGTGTTGGGAATTGAACCTGGGTCCTCTGGCAGAGCAGCTAATGCTCATAATCTCTGAGCCATCTCTGCAGCCCAAATTTATGATGTTTTTAAAAAATTATCATTGTGTGTGTGAGATGATACATATGTGTGGGCATATGTGCCATGGCTCATGTGTAGAGGCCAGAGGACATTTTGGAGTTGATTTTCTTCTTCCACTTTTGTGTGGGTTCTAGGGATCAAACTTAGGTCACCGGGCTTATGTGGCAAATGCCTTTACTTACTGAGGCATCTCAGTAGTCCAGTATATGAAGTCTTGAAAAACATGGTTCACAGTTGTATTTACTTAGATCACATAAACAAGGAAGGACACTTATGCTTTCTACCATCTGAGAGCTGGAAAGATGGGCTACACATTGAACACATTGTCTTTACTGTAGAGGCTCTCTAGTCCTTGTTAGAGCAGTGAACAAAGGATAGTTCTGGGAAGAAATGAAAATTACAAAATTTCTCTGCAGAGCAGACGTAGAGGGCAGGCTTGTTGTTGAGAGGAACACAGTACAATACTATCTGGAAAAATGTTATTTTTCTGTACTTCTCAAGGTTTAAGAACTTCAGTGGTAGAGTACTTCCATAGCATGCACAAGGCCCTGTTTTTGATGCCCACCACTGAACAACAAAACAAAAATAACAAGAAAAAACAAAAAACCTACTTTTTTGTTTTTCTTTTATAGACCTCAAGTCCCATAGAAGAGGACTTTGAAAGAATCCAAAGTTCTTTGGCTGAACCTCAAGATTATGGTAAGTTCTAGGGCAGATTTCTTTGGAAATCCTTTGCCTTCATTTTCTGTTGGATTATAAGTGCTTACAGCTGGGAGTGGGGAATGCTTAGAAATAACCTTGTTCAGGCTTTTCATTTTGCAGATGAGGAAAACCAAGCAAGGCTCAGGAACCCCTCCTCATTAGAATGATTCCTTTTGGGGACTGGAGAGATGACTCAGGGGTTAAGAGCACTCACTGGCTGCTCTTCCAGCGGACATGGGTTCCATTCTTTTTTCTTTTTTTTCTTTATCTCGTGGGGTTTTCTTTGTTTTGTTTGTTTGTTTTTGTTTTTGAGACAGGGTTTCTTTGTGTAGCCTTGGCTGTCCTGGAACTAGCTCTGTAGACCAGAGGCAGCCAGTGCTCTTAACCTCTGAGCCATCTCTCCAGCCCCACCTAGCCTCCTTTCTTAACATCCACATGGAAGCTCAAAATTGTAACGTCAGTTCTAGGGTATCTGATGCCCTCTTCTGGCATGCATAGGCACTGCATGCACTTGGTACACAAACATATGCAGGCAAAACACCCATACACATAAAATAAAAGATTAAGAACAAAAAGAATGAATTCTCTCCTCCTTGCCAGCCTCCCAGTAGCCACACATATTATTAGACCACTTCTGTGTTTCTTTGACATTCTGTAAGTGATGTTCACTTACAGAATTGTAGGCCCCTTGATGGCATACAGCAAGGTTATCTTTCTTGAACAACCTGAGGGATTTACACAAGCCTCTACAGAGCTGGTCATTGATAGTACAAAAGCTAGAACTTAATTTCTGGTCTTTCTTCACCTTGGAAGTCAGAATGTCACCATCATTTTCCTTTGCATCTTTTTTTTTCTTTAAAAATTTATACTTTTAATCCCAGCACTTGGGAGGCAGAGGCAGGTGGATCTCTGTAAATTCAAGGCCAGTCTGGTCTACATAGGGAGTTACAGGACAGCCAGGACAACATAGAGAAACCCTGTCTTGAAAAAAAAAAAAAGATTTCTCTGTGTAGCCCTGGCTGTCCTAGAACTTGCTCTGTAGACCAGGCTGTCCTAAAACTCACAGAGGATCCACCTGCCTCTGCCTTCTGAGTACTGGGATTAAAGGCAAACACCACCACCCCCAGCTTTTTTGTTGTTGTTTTGTTTTTCTTTATGTAGCCCTGGCTGTCCTAGAACTAGCTCTGTAGACCAGGCTACACTTACAGAGATCCTCCTGCCTCTGCCTACTAAGTGCTGGGATTAAAGGTGTGTTGCCACGACTACCACACCCAATTTGGCTTCTTGAAAAGACAAAACATTTGTTTCCAGAAATAACTATTAATAGCTTGGTTGTGTTTTGAGTGTTGGAGTAAAGGTCTCCCTTTTGAGCTTGCATACACACCATGGCATGCATGTGGAGACCTGAAGACAACTCTTAGTTGGTTCTCTCCTGCCATTTGTGGGATCCAGAGACCTCGTTTAGGTTGTCAAGCTTCTGTGCAAGTGCCTCTAACTACTGAGATATCTGGAAGCCCCACACAGATGATGATTATGGTGATGATGATGATGATGATGATTTATTTATTTTTTGAGACAGGGTCTTACTATGTAGTTCTGTAATCTGGCTGTCCTATAACTCGCAATATAAGCCAGGCTAGCCTTGAACTCACAGAGATCTGCCTGCCTGCCTCTGACTCCTGAGTGTCCTGGGATTAAAGTAAAAATACATTTTTTTTTTATCATTTCAGTTGAAGAAAAGTTCCAAATAAGAGAAAGCTTTGGAAAGAATGCTGAGAATTTGACTGAGCTTCAGTTCCAAGCTATGCAATGGTATGACTGGTTTTTGTTTTTTTTTTTTAATTAAGTTTCAGGCTTAGAAGCAATGCTCATTGACGAAAATGATTAGATTTATGTATTACTTACCTTCAGGTATATTATCCACTATAATACAAATTAGCTCTGTGTAACTTAAAAATATTAGGACTTGTTCAGCAGAATTTGAAAAGGAGTAATTATTTTTATTCAGATCCTGGCTCTTGACATTTTATCCATATGACTTTGGTCATAAGTCTCTGCTTCTCTGCTATCACATCTTTAAAATAAGAATGATAAAGCCAGGCCTGGTGGCATATGCCTTTAATTCTAGCACTATAAGTTCAAGGCAAACCTGGTCTACATAGCAAGTTCCAGGAAAGCAAGGATGCATAGTTGAAACCCTGTCTCAAAATAAATGAATAAATAAATAGGGATAATAATTCTGAGACTACTGACATAGAAATTAAAAGTAACAATACAACTTTCGGATATTTGTTCCTAAAAAAAAGAACTCTTAAATCATCACAAAACATATGCGTGAATATTTATAGCAGATTGATTTGTAATACTCCCCAAATGGAAACTCAGATGTCTCACTGTGAATGATGGGACAGTATCACATCTATACATTGAATACTCAGCAGTAAAAAGTGTTGGATGTGGTACAGGTGCACACTTGGGCAGAGACAGGTGGATCTCTGAGTTTGAGGCTAGCCTTGTCTACAGAGTTAGTTCCAGGACAGCCAGGGATATATGGAGAGTCCTTGTTTACATATATATATTTAAAAACCCAAAAGAGTAAAGACACAGAGAAAGATTTAGTGTGAGATCTGCTTATAGTTTGATGTCTCACGAGTACTGAAATTGAAGCTTAAGTACTGGTTGAAGTAGCAGTGGGTCAAGTTTGTCTTCAGCATCTCTTCTGGCCTCTCTTGGGGAGACCAGGAAGCTGTGTCATAGCTGTAAAGCCTCGTGTCTGTGCCCTTTGCTCCATGTCTGCCTCCCAGCAAAGTGCCTGTGCTCCAGGGGCTTTCTGAGGAGCCTGCTGCTCACTGTCATATAGACCAGCTTGGGTCACCCTTTTAGAGTATTTGTCCAATCTATGGACAATACTTGAGACCCAGATATGCTGAAGAACTTGTGACTGGTTAGCACTGGAACCAGAACTAGGACTCACACTTTCTGCTTCTGAATTTTGTGTTTTCTCCATTGCCTCTCACCCTTGGCTGGGGTACTGGTACTGAGTTAGTGTACTTGACTGACGAGTCCTCATTCATTTTCTTACATTTTCTCTGGCAGTGCTGAAGATGAACAAGAAGAGGCATTAGAGGAGACACGGAAGGAACCGGAAGAGAAAATGTATGGCCACCAAAGTGTAGCTAAGGATGTTTGTGTAGTCTTAGTTTTATGGAACTCTTTCCTTGTTTGTAAGAATCTGTTGTTACTATTTTACTGTTACTGGGGGAAAGACTCAAGTGTACCGTGATGTGCATGTGAAAGGACAGCTCTGTGGGGTTGGCTCTCCCCTTCCACCTATACATGGATTCTGGGGCTCAAACTCAGGCTTCCAGGCTTGCTAAGCAAATGCCTCTCACCCACTGAGCATCTTTCTGGCTCTTATTCTTACCATAAATATATTTAATTTAAATATCTTTCTTCTTTCACAAAAAAGCTGTTACTAAATTGATGATAGTGATCTATTATTAATAGCATCTTATAATCAAGGAAATACAGTGACGATAGTGATGATGGTAATAAGTTTACTACTTTCATAAATGGGAAGTTGGCATTATCAGCCCAAATATGTTTTAAGTTATATATATTTGTTTTGTTATGCCAGGAATAGACCTCCAGGACCTGTCCGACACATGGTTGGCAAGTGCCTTGCTGCTAAACCACACCTATAGCTCAGTATTTTTGTTTGTTTCTTTTAATTGGGAATGAAAGGGTTATGGACATGTTCCACCCCTGCCCCCAACCCCACATGTTTGTTGTTTGGACTTTTTTTTTTTTTTTTTTAGCCCAGGGCCTTGCACTCACTGTGTAGCCTAGGCTAGCCTTGAAGTTGAGGCAGTCTTTTTTTCCTTAGCCTCTGAAGTGCTGAAGTTATGGGCATGAGCAAGCTACCACTCCTGGCCCTAGCATCTATTTTAAGATAGATACTTTAAATTTTTATTTTATTTGTATTTGTGTTTTGTGTGCAAGTATGTACAATACTTGTGTGGAGTGTCCAAGGAGGCCAGAGGAGGGCATTGGATTTTCCTAGAACTGGAGTTACAGATGGTTATGAACTATTATGTGGGTGCTGGGAATTGAAGTTCTCCAGCCCTACTTTTAAAGATGTTTCTACATATTTTCTTTAAGATAGTCCCTGATGTATTGAAAGTATCTCTAAAAGTTCTTAATAGAGCAGGACATGGTGGTACACACCTGCACTCCCTACATTAAGGAGCCTGAAACAGTAAGATCGTGAGTTCAGGGCCAGCCAAGGGTGAGTTCAAACCGATTCCAGTAAAAGAGGTTCCAATCAAGAATGTAGTAATGTATTGTTCTGTTTTTCCAAATATCTCACCACATCTCATAACTTCTTTGTTCCTTTTTTTTTTTTTCTTTTAAGACCAAATCTTGCAGCCAGGTGGTGGCACATGCCTTTAATCCCAGCACTCAGGAGGCAGAGGCAGGCGGATCTCTGTGAGTTCAAGACCAGCCTGGTCTACAGAGTGAGATCCAGGACAGCCAGAGCTTACACAGAGAAACCTGTGTCGAAAAACCATTAAAAAAAAAAAAAAGACCAAGTCTTGAAATGTAGTTCAGGTTGGTTTTGAAATTACTGTAGCTTAGGATGGCCTTGAGTCATGGCAGTCCTCCTGCTTTAGCCCCCGAACAGCTGGGTTAACACAGTTTTAACACTATGACCAGCTTACTGTGTATTCTTAACTCTTTAGATCACTGACAGACATTCAGGACCTGTCCAGTATCTCCTACGAACAAGATGGCTGTTGTAAGGAGACCTCATGCAAAACACCCAAATTAAAACACGCACCTACTAGTGTCAGTACTCCGCTCAGCCCAGGTAAGAATCAGACACAGGAGGAATGTTTTAGAAGAGGATTCACAGGCCCTGGTTGGGCATAAGTCCTGATGGCTATTTTCTCCCCAAACAAAGGTGTTTTCTTTATTTCTTTTTTTTTTGTTGTTGTTTTTTGTTGTTGTTGTTTGTTTTTTGAGGCAGGGTCTCACTGTGTAGCCCTGGCTGCCCTGGAACTTGCTCTGTAGACCAGGCTGGCCTTAAACTCAGAGACCTGCCTGCCTTTCCTCCCAAGTGTTAGGAGTAAAAGCCTGCTAAAATACTTATTTTTATTGTACGTGTACAAATGTTTTGCCTGCTCATGTTAGTGCACCACATGCTTGCAGTGCCTGCGGAGGCCAGAAGAGGGTGACAGATCTCTGGGTGTGACGTTACCACTGGTTGTGAGCCACCAAGTAGGTCCTGGGAACAGAACCTGGGTTCTGTAGAAGAGCATCAAGTTTTCCTAACTGCTGAGCCATCGCTGGCCTTACGAAGGCATTTTCTTAAGAGTCAGAACTAAACAGAGTAATTCCATGGGCTTCTAGGTAGAGATATGATATAGCAGTGTAACAAACCCTCCTGCTGCAGACAGCCTGCTGCAAATGGAGGCTAGTTGGGTTTTAGCACTGGACTGCCTTCTCGGAGTCAGTCAATTAAATTCTCTCATAATTAAATATCCACAGCTCTTGAGGTTTTGTTGTTGTTGTTGTTTGTTTACTTAAATGTTGGGGATCAAATATAGGACTTTGTGAAGCCAGGCAAGCCCTCTACCACTGAAATATATCCCTAGTACTGTCCTCTGTCACGATTTTCTATAAACTGCAAAAATGCCACAGGCACAGTAGAAAGAATTATGAATTCTTTTTTTTTTCTTGCTCTCTGGTTTAGTAAAACTAGTAACAAACCCAGTTTCCTTTACCAGTTTGTGTTTTTTATTTTCTTTGAGAGTGCAGGGAAATTAAGACGGTAGGTTATGACTCTGAGTTTCCACTGAAAGTGGTGGCAGTGGTGCTGTAGTTACTGTTGGAAGCTGGTGTTAGATTGCAGTGGTGGAGACATCAGTGCAGGGTCTACTCTGCACCTACGCCATGCGCCTCTGAATTAACTGCCAAACACTGAACGTGGTTGGTGCAACTGGCATGTGGCAATCCACATGTAACCAGCATCAGATAGGTTCTCTTCAGGGTTCATATTTTTGGTAAATTTGTGGCTTAATTTCCCTTTATTTCATTTTGATGACCAGCCATATATATATGTATGTATATATATATACACATATATGTGTATATATGTGTGTATGTGGATAGATAGATAGATAGATAGATAGATATAGACACACACACACACACACACACACACACATACACGAGTTTTAGACCTGAGGAACTATCTCAGATTCATGGTTGTTTCCGTCACAGCAATCTGGACAATCCCCAGCGTAGTCACGGTCTGTGATTGTGTATAATGTAAAGAACTCTGACACTTGCTGCCCTCTTTTCTCCTAGAGTCACTTTCTTCAGCTGCTAGTCACTATGAAGACTGCCTCGAAAATACGACATTTCAAGTTAAAAGAGGATCTACATTTTGTTGGAATGGTCAAGAATCTATGAGAACTTTCTCTGCCAAATTTACCACTGTCCGAGAGAGAGCGAAGAGCCTGGAGTCTCTCCTTGCTTCTTCTAGGCCTCTGCCTGCAAAACTGACTGATCCTGTAAGTTCCCAGTTTGCGTTTTACTTTTGTGGGTCAGTCCAAGGCCCTCAGTAATAGAAAGGGCTGAGATTTCTCCCAAATTCATTGAGAAGCAAGAAATATGCTAGATTCCTCCCAGGTGTCCCTGGGCTTCTCCCCGGAGTCAGCATTCTGGGAGGCTTACGTGTGCTTCCTGAGCATGCATGCTGCTTCCCAGAGTGCTGGCTGATCTCCCTAAACTTGCAGGAAACTCATGTTATATCACCTTCTCCTCACCTTTGAGTCTTTTTTCTTTCTCCCTCATATTGCACGTTTAGTCTTTATAAGAAAACCACAAATTACTGCTTAATACTGCTCATTCAAACCTTTGGTTGACCCTCTGTATTAGTTGATTTCTCTTGCTAAGATAAAACACTGACCAAAACCAACTCAAGGGAGGAGTGGGTTAATTTGGCTTATAGGTTATAATCCATCATCTAGGAAAGCCAAGGCAGGAGCCTGGGGGTAAAATCTGAAGCAGAAAACCATGGAGGGACAGTGTTGTCTTCGTAAATTCTATTGCTATGATAAACACCATGACCAAGGAAACTTATAAAAGGAAGTGTTTAACGGGGGCCTTGCTTACAGTTTGAGGGTTAATCCATGATTATCATGGCAGAGGCCTAGCAGGCAGGCATGGTGCTGAAGCAGTAGCTGGGAGCTCACATCTGATCCACAAGTTGCAGGCAGAGAAAGCACAAACTGGGCCTGGCATGAGCTTTTGAAACCTCAGAGCCCACCCTCAGTCACACTCATTCTCCAGCAAGGTCACACCTCCTCCTAATCCTTCCAAAAGAGTCCACCAACTAGAAACCAGCTGTTCAAATATATGAGCCTGTGGGAGCTGTTCTCATTCAAATCACCACAATTGTTTACTGGCTTTCTTTTTCTGGCCTTTCAGCTACTTTTCTTACATAGTCCAAGCCACCTGCCTAGGGGGTGGCACTGCCCACAGTGGTCTGAGGCTTCCTACATCAATTAGCAATTAAGAAAATGCCCCAAATCTGATGGCAACAGTTCTTCAAGTGAGGTTCTCTTTTGCTAGGTATGTTAAGTTGACAACTGAAGCTAACCATGACACCCTCTTCTGAACAGACTGGTTATTTTCTTTAGCATTCAATGGCAAATAGATTGTAAATGGTTTTGGTATTTGGCTTGTAAAAATTGCACTCAGAAGTGAGAAAATAGCAAGGAATCTTATGCTTTCACTCAATGAACTGTTAATTGGGTAGATTCTAAGTGCCAGGCACCATATCCAAACCTGAATAAGAAAGACACAGGCCTTATCTTAAAGTTACCAATGGCTTAGTGAGGAGACAGGCCCAGTATGATTACTAAGTGCTCAGCCAAGAACTGGAGTTGAGAAGGCTTCTCAGGGGAGGTAGAAATGATTGAGCTGCATGTGCCTTTTTATTTAGTACACATACTGCTTACCACGTTTTATGTTTCATAATTCTTTTCTTATAGAAAAAATGGTCTGCGTACAGTGGGGTTGGTTCTTCTAATATTTCTGCAGCATCTGTGACATCAGCCCACACTACCCAGAGGAAGAGCCTACCCAGAGGTACCCTGTATTTAATATCAAAGAGTTCATGAGAGTAAGCTGGTTTAAGAAGGCCTAGGTTGTTGTTCATTAATCTTTGATGTGACATCTGGTTTAAACAAAAATGTTATTTTTCTTTCTTTCTTTTTTTTTTTTTTGGTTTTTCAAGACAGGGTTTCTCTGTGTAGTTTTGGTGCCTGTCCTGGATCTCGCTCTGTAGACCAGGCTGGCCTCGAACTCACAGAGATCTGCCTGGCTCTGCCTCCCAAGTGCTGGGACTAAAGGTGTGCGCCACCACTACCTGGCCAAAAAAATGTTATTTTTCTATGATTATAAAAGTAAAACAGGAAACTTGGTAAATAAAGAAAAGTTTAAAAAACAAAATGGTCAACTAAGCATACCACAGCTTGCTGTGTTGTACAATTTTGGTGTATTATCCTGTTTCATAGTTTTAGAAGTATATAGCAAATATTTTAGTTTTTATAACCATGTCATATATCAGTTCTAGACTATGTTTCCCCTTGACATATGCTCAGCTTCCTTATCTGTTAGTTCTGTATCCATGGATTCAACCAGTGGCAGATGAAAAGTCTTTGGAAAAAGATTGCTTCTACTGTATTAAACATGCATAGCCTCCTTTTCTCATCCTTCTTCCTACCTAAACAGTGGAATATATCAGTGATGTACATTGCATCTACATTACATTAGGCATTATAAGCAATCAAATACCACACCACTTCATGTAAGGAACTTGAGCACTCATGGATTTTGATATTGCCAGGCTGAGTGATTCTGGAAATACTTCCTTAAACAACAAAGGCTAATTGTATTTTGAGCATTTCCTCTTGTAATTAAGAGTTATTCATAAGTAAATAGTAGCTACATAATAATAGATTCTGAATATGTTGCTTAACCATTATCTTATTTGAAAATTTACATTGTTTTCCAAGTTTTGCCTTTCATACAAAAGTCTTATCTGAACTTCTGACCTTTCCTTAGGATAGATTTTTTTTGGAAGACAGTTTTCAAATCATACAAGAATGCTAGAAACGTCTACGGCACGTTGCTTTTGTTGCAGTAATTTTAATGTCTAAGGCCTTCCTTTGCTACAGCTCTTGGAATTTCTCTGCAGGGAAGAGGAATTTTATATGTTATATTGAAGGGCTTGCTATATATAATTTAGCACTTGGGAAAAGACCCTAAATATGGTTGCTCCCTTATCTCCTGGTCTGATGCTCTACAGAGAAAAGCCTCCTGCTTTGTGTTTTTGTTCATTTTGGCTTACCCAGAACCTCTGTGTTCTTCCACAACCTGCTCCAGATCATCCCCAAGCCTCTTAGTAAGAATTTGTACCTTAATCTGATTCAAGTGTCCTTAGAAAGAAGCAAAGAGTGGGGTGGGTTAATGGGATGAAAGTGGAGAGTAAGACCATCCATATATTAAGGAAGCCTCCACTAAGAATGTCATGAGAGATGCTCTCATATGCCTTAGTTTATTACATCATTGAGAAAGCCTTAAATCCATGGAAAGACTAGAAAATTCGGGTCTAGGAAGGTGTTAAGTCATTTTTCCCCCTTTATCTTTTTTAAGAACTAGTGGAAACCACCTCTCAGCATCATATTGATGAGCTTCCATCACCAGCTCAGGAGCTACTTGATGAAATTGGTAAGAGGTATTCAATACAAAATATACTTCTTAGCCCCTGTTGGTTATGGTCATTGACCACAATATGGTTTCTTTTTCTTAGGTATCAGCACTAGTACAAAAAAAATATGAAGGTGTGGTTGAATGCAAAATTCAGGAAGGGACAGTTTGGTTTTTTTTTTTTTCCCAAGACAGGGTTTTTCTGTGTAGTCTTGGCTGTCCTGGAACTCACACTCTGTAGACCAGGCTGGTCTCAAACTTGCAGAGATCCACCTGCCTCTGCCTCCCAAATGCTGGGATTAAAGGTGTGCACCACCACCGCCCAGTAGGTGGTGTGGCCAAGATATTTGGCCTATTTATTTTGTCATTTGTTATTAAAGGATTTATGAGAAAGAGTCTAAAGTAAAGTATAGCCGGAAATTTCTCCAGTCCTGCCTTGCCTAGCAGTCCAGACGAATCTCTCCCACCTGTGGTCCCACAGCTGCTTATAAAATAATTACTCAGAGGCTTATAATTACAAACTGTATGGCCTATGGCTTCAGCTTCTTGCTAGCTAGCTCTTTCATCTTAAATTAACCCATTCCTATTAATCTATATGTTGTCACATGGCTATGGTGTTACTGGTCTGCTGGCATCTTGTTGCTCCTACAGTGGGGCTCGAGTGTCTTCTACTTCACCCTTCTCTCTGTCTCTGCTTGGATTTCCCACCTGGCTGTAAGCTTTCTTGCCATAGGCCAAAACAGCTTTATTTATTAGCCAATAGGAGCCACACACATTCACAGCATACAGAAAGAAATCCCACAGCAGTAAAGTAACAACATTCAAATGTTGCTGGTGATAAACTAATTTTATTTTTGTAAGATTTTTGTCTATATTTGTTTACATTTTTAAAGATAGGGTCTTGCTATGTAGCTCAATCTGGTCTAGAGTTCACTTCATAGCCAGGCTGGCCTTAATTCTGTCCATCTGCCTCAGCCTCCCAAGTGTACCACCATGTCTAGATGATAAACTCCTTTAATTAAAGGAATTGCCCTTTCAACCCAAACTAGATATTCCTTAGAAGCCTGTAGTCTGGCTATGCAGGCCAAAACATGTTTACTTCCAATTTTGCTAATAGAGGAAGTATTAAACATATTGGGTCATGTAGATGAATTTCTAAACAGTCTTATTAAATAAAAAAACACAGAGCCAGATATAGGGGTTAAAGCCTGAGAGAGATCAGAATAATAGGAACAGCCACAAGCTAACCTCACCTCACCAACTCTGCAGCTTCTAAATGCGAGCGACTTCCTGTCTACCCATGCCTATATGCCTTGCTGTTCTGCCATCTGATTTGCTCTCTCTGTCCAGCTACATCACTTCCTCTTCCTGCCCAGCTCTGTCACTTCCTGTCTGTCTGCACAGACCTCCAGACCTCCATAGTTAACTAGTATTGGAATTTAAGGCGTGTGCCACCACACCTGACTGTTTTCAGTGTGGCTTTGAACTCACAGAAATCCAGACAGATCCCTGGCCTGCCAAGTGATAGGATTAAAGGTATGTGTTAACATTGCATGACTTTTGTGTTTACTTATAATGGCAGTTCCTATTCCTCTGATCTCCAGGCAAGCTTTATTTATTAAAGCACAAATAAAATATCACCACAGGGTTGTGAATAAATAAATAAATCCCTTTTATAATTCCCCAGAAGTCAGTGAGAGAAAAGCCTGATGAGACTAGAATTTTCCATTTTGGGAGGCTACTGAGAAATAGAAACTCAATTTTATTTACAGCTGGGCAGATGTTTAAAGCAATAGTGTATTGTTATAAAGACCTTGGAAGCAGGCAGTCTGTTTCTCCAACAACCTGTTTGACCAGCCCTTATCTTTAGAGGGTCCCTCTCCTCTTGTCTATGATGGTCCATTTCTTGGTATAGGGCCTACAGAGAATTGGTCAAGGCACTAGTTAGTGTTCAGGATCTCTGAGGTCTTGTGAATCTTAAGGAACTAGGACTTAATGCTCTGACTCAAGGCATAGCCATCCTCTGGGCTCTTTAGCATAACCTTCAGCGCCTCTCCTTTGACCTAGTGAACTCAGGTAATTGTATTATTATCACTGTTGTTTTATCTGAAAAGACCCCTAGGGAGTAGTCAGGACCTGTCCCCTGCTTTTTTGGAGGGTTCATATCCAGAGGTCTAGGCTCCAACAGGAGCCTTAAAGGGAAAGGTCTTTTAGAACTCTAGGATATAGGCCATCATTTAAGAGCAGCCAGGGACTGGTGAAGATAAAATCCTGATTTAAGTGATCTTCCAGGTCTTCTTGATGCTCAAGAGCTGTCAGGTAGCAGCAGTTCACCAACAGTAGGAAGGGAGCAGACTAGCACTGCCAGACACAGCTCCTCCTCCTCCTCAAAGTGAGTTTGGGGTGGCCCCAGCTGTTTCTCTGCTTTGCTCTGAAGAGCATTTTGAAAGAAGCAAGCTCCTAACAAATGCAGAGCAGCCAGTAAGTTTAGCATCTGCTGATCTTGGTCTAGTGAGCATTTCTTTAAGGAAGTGGGAATATAGATATTCATAGTAAAAACATGACATATAGGCTAGTAGAGATGGAGACACTTGTGGATGGCTCTGCTCCTGAAAGAGTATAAAATCAAGATTGGGGGCTGGAGAGATGGCTCAGCAGTGAAGGACACTTGCTCTTGCAGAGGACCCGGGTTTGGTTCTCTGCACCCACATGGTGGCTCACAACCATCTGTAGCTCAGGTCCAGGGGATCTGAAGCCTTCTTATGATCTCCGTGGATACAAGGCACATACATCCACACGTATATACATACTCATACTAATAAAAATTTTTGAATCTTTAAATCTGTTTTTAAAATCAAAAGAGCGTAAACTTTAGAGCTAAGACTACCTGGATTCAATCTCAATTTTCCTACTTATCTCTTTGATTTTTCGTTTATGAAAGTTCCTTAGCCACGTGAGCCCTCTCCTCACTTCTCCTATTTCAGTAGCTGTTCCCAGGCTCCTCCTCAGTTTGGTCTCAGTACTGTTGTTCCTTTCCTGAAACACAAAAATAAAAATATCATCTCACGGGGCTGTGTTTAGATTGTGAATAATCCTGAATTAATGTATACAAATATCCAATACCTGCCTCTCTGTGTTACCTTCCTTCATCATTATCATCATCATCCTTTTTGTTTCTCCTTTGGTTTTGTTTTTAGATAGGGTCTAAATATATAGCTCTGGCTAGACTGGAACTCACAGAAATGTACCTGCTTTTGCCTTTCAAGTGCTGAAATTAAAGGTGTTACACCACTACACACAGCCTATTTTCTTTCTTTTTTTTAAACACTTTTTGTTTGTTGTGTTTGTGTGTATGTGTACATAGATGTACATGTCATGGAGCTTATATGGAGGTCAGAGGACAACTTCAGGAGTTGTTTCTTGCCTTCAACCCTTTGGGTCCCAGAAATCAAATTCAAATCATCATGTATGGAGGCAAGTGCCTTAACCCACCTAGCCATCTTGCTAGCCATTTGTCTGTTTGTTTGTTTTGGGGTTTTGTTGTTGTTATTTCTGTTTGAGACAAAGTTTCATGTAATCAAGTCTAGCCTTGACCTCTTTATGTATGTAGCCAAGGCTGGCCTTGACAAGTTTCTGCCTCCACCTCCTAAGTCCTGGGGTTCCAGGTGTGCATCACATACCCTCCTAATGTTTTGTTTTGTTTGGAGAGAGGGTCTCAAGTCCTGGCTAACCTGGCACTTGTTATGTAGTCCAGACTGGCATCAAACTTAGAGAAATCCTGCTGTTTGTACCACCACACCTACTATCAATCCTTAAAAATCCTTTATCAGGTGTTATTTGGGACTTTCTTACTTGAAGAATTCATTTTGAACTCATAAAGTAGTGGCTTCAAACTATCAGACATCAGAGTCACCTGTCAGTATGACTGAGTTAAACGGCAGGCGTTTCAGATTCAGTGGGTTTGGGTCATACCAATAATGCAGGTTGGAGGACTGCCCTTTGAGAGCACTATCCTAGGAAGTTGTGTGATATGGAAAGGTGGAATAAGTTGCCTTTTGCTTTTGTACTGTGACAGAGCATCTGAAGCAGCAGCAGGTTTTATCCGTGGTGTCACATGAGAACACAGCACATGATCTGGGTGCCACTGAACATGGTAAGCCAATATCCAGGAGTTTTTATGTAATGCTGCCCTTAAAAGCGTAATGGTATATATGGAAGAGTGTGACTTAGGTCCGGTCCAACTCCATTTTAATTCCAATTCTACCAGTTAATTTTGTCTAACTGTTTCATTTCTGGGCTTCATCTATCCTCATCTGTGAAATGGGAATAATAGTTCCTATCTCTTGGCATACATTAAAGGGTACATCCTTATCCTACACAAATTCCTTCCATGAAGTTCTACCCTAGGAGCATCTAAGAAGCAAGAAAGCGAAGAATGCCCTAAAGTACAATTGTGTGGTTTCTCTTAGGGTTGCTCGCCGCCTCTTTGTGTGCTTTTTTCCTTTGCTTTATCTAGTTCTCTGAGCTTGGCACTGGCTAGGTTTCCTGTAGCTTCACTTGGCACCACAGATCTCCCAAGACCCCAGAAGCAGCTGCTGTGAATGCTAGTGCCCTACAGACTGCCATCTGGCTCTCTGCTCTGATGGGAGAGGGGAGCTGATGTATTGCATACTTGCAGAACTACTGATGGCCTTAATTTTCACAGTTCATTTTAAAGCATATTCTTAATTATTTTTCATTTTAATAAAGTTAGCTATCTCAATTGCTTTAGATAAAAAGCATTTGGAAGAACAAGAAACCAACAGTAGTAAAGATAGCAGTTTTCTTTCCACCAAAGAAATTCAAGATCTGGAAGACACAGAGAGGTAACAAAAAACTAAATTTTTGAAAGGATTTTAAAATTGCACTTGTATATATTAGTTTTTATTATAGTAACAGATAATAAGGAACAGAACAAACTTTTTCTTTATTCTCCTTGCTTCATTACTAGGATTTTTGTTTTATATTAGCATGCATTAATATATAATAACAAGTTTCATGACAATATTTTCATACATATCTATAATGCATTTTTATCAAGTTTACTTTTCCTTACCTTCTCTTGTCTCTTCCCTGCTCTCATGAGTCTAAACAGCTCCTTCTACTCTCATGTCTTTTTTGGAGGGTGCATGACCTAGTGAGTGTCATTAGGGTTTCTTATAGGAGTGTGGCTGAGGGGTTATTATAGGAACGTGAGCACTTTATCAGTGGCTACACCACTGAAGAACATGTCTCTCTTCTCCCAGCAATAATTAACTCTCTATAGATCCGCAGGGTGGGATAGGGGCTTGTGAGCCCCTTCCTCCTAGTTATACTTTGTGATTAAAATACATAAACATTTAATCATTTTTCTTAACCAATATAAGGTGTACAGCTCAATGTTAATTATATTTGTTGCTGTCCATGATGATTCACTTAAAAGTTTTTGAAATAAGTTTTTGTTTGTTTTTCTTTTTTGAGACAGGATCTCAATATGTAGCTCTGGTTGTCCAGGAACTCACTATGTAGATCGGACAAGATCACAGACATGCACCTGACCTGAAATAATTTCTTTAACATTTTTCATCACATTTATTTGAGAGAGAGTTTGTGTGTGTGTGTGTGTGTGTGTGTGTGTGTCTGCCTGTCTGTCCGTCTTTCCAGCCCCTTATTACATTTTGTACTCCCCACTGCCTTCCTTTTTCTGTCTTCCCCACCTTTTGCTGGTCCTTTTCCATCTCCCTAATAGTCCTTCCCTCCACTTCCATGGCCCATACATTCCATTGTCCTTTCTTGTTCCCAAGCCCCCACCCTTTAGACCTCCTTTACTTGTAGTACCCTTTCTGTTTTTGTCACACACACACACACACACACAGAAATTTAAATATAGTTTTACATGTGAGAGGAAAACATGGAATGTTTGTCTTAATATAATGATCTCCAGGTTCTATCCACTTTTTTTGCAAATGTCATAATTTCATTCTTTTTAAAGAGAGAGAGAGAGAGAGAGAGAGAGAGAGAGAGAGAGAGAGAGAGAGAGAGAGAGAGAGAGGAGTGTGTGTACGCCATAGTGTTGACAGGACGGTCAGGAGAACTTGTGGGTGTTGCTCTCCCCTTCTACCATGTATGTCACAGGGCTTGAACTCATGAACTCAGCCAGCCAGGCTTGAATGGCAGACATCTTTACCTGCTGAGGCATCGCACTGGACCGCCTTCTTCTTTATGGAATGTATACTCACCACTTCTTTTGCTTGAGACAGGACCGGACACTGTCACCCAGGCTGGATTTGAACTTGTGGCAGGCCTCCTGCCTTAGCCCCTGGAGTGTTGGGACTGCAGGCTTGTCCTGTCACAGCTGGCTTCAGTTTTTTTCTTCTAGTTCCAGCTGTTGATGGAGCTCTAGGCTGGTTTTGAGGCCCTGCTTTCCATTTTTTAGAGATTTATTATTTTTATATATGTATGTATATGTGCCAGTGATGGACATCACGTGCATTCAGGACCTGAAGCAGTCAGAAGGGGAATTGGATCATCTGGAACTGGAATTATAGGTAGTTGTGAGTTGCTATATGGGTTCTGAGAACTGAACTGAGTTAAGTGCTCTTCACTTCTAAGCAGTCTTTCCAGCCTCTCGCTTTCAGTTCTTTTGCTATATACCCAGAAATGATATTTCTAGATTATATGGTAAATCTATTTTTAATTTTTTAAAAGATTTATTTATTTGTTGTGAATATAGTGCTCTGTTTGCATGTATCCCTGCAGGCCAGAAGAGGGCGTCAGATCTCATTACAGATGGTTGTAAGCCACCATGTGGTTGCTGGGAATTGAACTCAGGACCTCTGAAAGAACAGCTAGTGCTCTTAACCTCTGAGCCATCTCTCCAGCCTGTATTTTTAATTTTTTAAGTAACCATCATACTTATTTCCACAGTAGTTGTATCACAGAATGCTCCCATCTACAGTGTACAGGAAAGAGTTCCAGTTTCTCCTTGTCTTTGCCACTTATTATGTCTCTCTCTCAATACTAGCCATCCTATGGGATGAGGTTATGCCACATTTGAATTTCATTTCCTTAATGAATAGGTATATTGGACTTCTTTTGGCTGTTTGTATATCTTCTTAGTAGAGATGTTTATTAGAGGGGCTGGAGAGATGGCACATTGGTTTAGAGCTTTTGTTGCTGTGGCAGAGGATCCAGGTTCAATTCCCAGCATAAGATCTGTGGTAGCTTACAAAAGTCCCAGGGGATCTGACATCCTCCTCAGACCTCCACGGACACTGTATGCATGTGGCAGTGGCACACAGGCATACATTCAGGCAAAGCATTCATACACATAAAATAAATATTTTTAAAATAAATACAATTTAGGAAAAATTGTAATGTTCCAGTGTTTATTGGAGGTTTTCACTCATTTTTTGATAGATAGAGTGATTTATTTTTATTTTGGCTTGTTGAGTTTTTTTGTTTTTGTTTTTGTTTTTTGGTTTTTCAAGACAGGGTTTCTCTGTGTAACAGCCTTGGCTGTCCAGGAACTTGCCCTGTAGACCAGGCTGGGCTTGAACCCAGAGATCTGTCTGCCTCTGCCTCCCAATTGCTAGTAATAAAAGCATGCACCACCACCACCACCGGGCCTAGTTTTTCTAAAACTTCATTTTTTGAAGCAAACAGGTTTCAGCTTCTTTCAGAAGATTTTATTCAAAGGTATTGGAAGAAACCTTTAGTTTTTTCTGGGTATGAGAAAAATTTGGGGGTCATCTGGACCTCAAGAAACCCGCATTTGGTCCTGACCAGAAACACTCATATGTGTTGTAAGGTGACGTCTTGAGCTCACTCCCTTGGCCTCTTGACTCCTTTGAACTGCCATTCAGGGCCAGGACAGGGAGAGGTGAGTCATGCACACTTGGACCCAAGCCTGAAGGGGCACCAAAAACCTCAGCAGCAATAGAAGTAATTAAAAAGGTTTATAAAGAGCTATTTCTTCTCTCTCTCTCTCTCTCTCTCTCTCTCTCTCTCTCTCTCTCTCTCTCTCTCTCCCTCTCTCCCTCTCCCTCTCCCTCTGTCCCTCTCCCTCCCTCTCTCTCCCTTTCCCTCCTTCTCTCTCTCTCTCTCTCTCTCTCTCTCTCTCTCTCTCTCTCTCTCTCTCTCTCTCTCTCACACACACACACACACACACACACACACACACACACACAGTGTTGTGAGTATATTGTCTGTTGTCTACGTGCATGCCTAAGGCCTGCAGAGTTCCGAAAAGGGTATGGATCTCCTGGAACTAGAATTACAGATGTTGTAAGTCACCATGTGGGTGCTGGGAATCAAACCCAGGCCCTCTAGGAGAGCAGCAAATGCTCTAAACTGCTGAGATGTCTGTGGAGGTTTGAATAAGAATGGTCCCTGTAGGCTCATAGATTTGAATGCTTAGTCAGTAGGGAGGGAGTGGCACTATTTAAAAGGATTAGGAGATGTGGATTTATTGGAGGAAGTGTGTCACTTGGGGTGGGCTTTGAGGGTTCAGAAACCCAAGCCAGGCCCAGTTGGCTCTCTGTTCCTGCTGCCTGTGGATCCAGATATAGAACTCTCAACTATTTCTCCAGCACCATGTCTATCTGCACGCTGCCATGCTTCCCGGCATGATGATCATGGACTGACCCTCTAAAACTGTAATCAAGCCCCAGTTAAGTGCTTTCTTTATAATAGTTGCTGTAGTCATAGTGTCTCTTCCCAGCAATGGAACACTGACTAGACACACTCTCTTTGGCCTTAAGTAATGTTTTATATAATTTTTAACAAGATTGAAGTTGGGACTGGAGAGATGGCACAGAGGTCAAGAGCACTGGCTGCTCTTCCAGAGGTCCTAAGTTCAATTCCCAGCAGCCACACAGCAGCTCACACCTGTCTGTAACTCCAGGTCCAGGGCTCTGACATCTCCACGCAGACACGCATACAGACAAAACACCAGTGGGCATAAAATAAAATGGAATCAGGCCAGCTGGTGGGGGCGCACACCTTCAATCCCAGCACTCGGGAGGCAGAGGCGGGTGGGTCTCTGTGAGTTCAAGGCCAGCCTGGTCTACAGAGTGAGATCCAGGACAAGCACCAAAAGTACACAGAGAAACTGTTTCTGTCTCAAAAAACCAAACAACAACAAAAAAATGGAATCATAAAAAAAAGACTGAAGTCACTGCAAACTAGTTCACAATGAACAAAATAAACTTTGAAAAGAGACAAGACTTAGCTCTGTGGTGGCACTTGCTCCTCCCCTCATCCTGCTCCTAATCTTGGTCCCATGTGTCCTCAGGGAAGCCATATACAATGGGTTCAGCAGCAAAGACCAGAAAGCCCCACTGCCATGGGTAAACGAGTTTTTCTCATTTAACAAGAGATTCATGAGTGGCAGGCACTATTGGCATCATACCACCAGAGACTTAGGCTTTTTTCATTTTTCTGTTCTATTGCCTGGGACCCTGGGACATGTTGGCCTTTGCTCTTACTTAATTTTTCTGCCTTTCCCCCAAAACCTGTCTCCTGGTGGCAGGACGGCTGTTGTTCACACAACAAGGGAAGGTAAAAAGAGGCTAAGACAAAGGAATATGGTACTAGAATCTGTCCTCTTTTATTTTGGGAAGAAAACCTTTCCTAGAAGTTTCCCAGTAGTTACCTATATCTCATTGGCTAAACTGTGACTCTGGTATTTGTCCCACTCCTCAAGGCTACATTGTTCTTTTTAAGGTAGGAAGAGAGAAGCCTAAAACAGATTCACAGAAGGAGATGAGTCCTAAGAGCTGAGACAGTCTTTTTTCGTTTTAGAGGAGGAGACAGAAAACAAAGGGGCAAAAGGGAGAAGACTTTTTTTTTTTGTCCAATAAACATTTTGGAACACTTTTAAACATTTTTATTTATTAAATTTCATTCATCATAATTTTCTGTGTTTTGTGTGTGGTGTATGGGAGCACACATGCATACCATGCATGATCTGAGTGTGGGGGTCAGAGGACAGCTTTGTGGAGGTTGTCAGGGCTGTGTAGCAAGTGCTCATCCATGGAGTCATCTCACCAGCCCTGAGAAATCTCTAGTCAGTGATGTGTTGTCACTATTCCACCCATAGTCCATCACTTTGAGCAAAAGCTATGTGGACTATTTAGGGGAAAAGATGAGTGCCCTAGATCAAGTTAGTGCTGGGCATGGTGGCACGTGTTTTGTATTTCCAGCAGGAAGACCAAAGTTGAAAGCCAGCCTGGGCTTCATAGAGACTCTGTCTTCAGAACAACAACAAAAAAAAGCAGGTTACATTTGACTACAAGTGTGAAGTCCTTGGTACCTTGTCACCAGACTAGATGCTGGGACTGGGGTGCGGCTCACTTCGTGGAGTGCTTGCCTGGAATGTGTGGTTTCTGTTGGGTCTTTTGTTTGGTTTTCAAGGCAGGCTTTCTCTGTGTATCTTTGGCTGTCCTGGAACTCACTCTGTAGACCAGTCTGGCCTCGAACTCAGAGATCCACCTGCCTCTGCGTGCGTCACCACGCCCAGCTGAGGCATCAACTCCACCTAGGGACACATACATACCTGTAATGCTAGCACTCAGACAGAAGAAGTGGGAGGACCAGAAATTCAAGACCAGCTTTGGATGCATAGCGAGTTCAAAGCCCGCCTGGGCTACATGAGACCCTATCTCAAAAAAGTTACTGTTATTTCTTCCCTTTTTGAAATTTATTTGTGGAGGGAGGTGGCATGGCCACAGCACACGTGGATATATCAGAGGACAACTTGCAAGAGTTGGTGCTCTCCTTCTGCCATGTGAATCCTAGGGATCTAACTCAGGTCAGCAGGCAAGTACTTTTATCCACTGACCTATCATACCTGGAGCTTACAATGTGGCTAGTCTGGCTAGCCAGCCTGACCTGGGGATCCCCATCTCTGCCCTCTAAATTCTGGGATTACAGGTGGTCTGGCTTTTATGTAGGTTCTAGGGGTTCAAACTCTGATCTTCCTGCTTATTTGAGAAGTACTTTTTCACTGAACCCTCTCCCCAGCCCCTTCCTTTATCTTAATTTTTCAAAAGGCTGGAAGTATTGCCCACAAGCAGTCTCCCATAATGCTCAGGTGTCTCAGTGCTATGTGATTGGTTGGTCCTAGGCACTACTATAGAGTGGGAGATCTTTTTCTCAGTTGGAAAATGCATTTTAGACCTTCTAAAAATACCTTTTATCTTCTAGCCTCAGAAGTAGTTCAGAAAAACACATAGAAAGCATGTACAATTATAACCTCGTATAGAAACTGAGTTTAATAACCTATAATTGAGACAGTTGGCATTGGAGGGAGTGAGCTCATGGGTTCCAGGGTTTTGTCAAGGAGCTAAAGGACTATTTTAGTGTACATATAAGTTAGAGACAAGTGACCTCTGGAGTCTAGACACAGTCTCACACCTTATGTTCATTCAGTTCTTGTGAAAGCACTGGTTTTAAGAACCTTTTCACTGCACAGCGACATGAGAGAAAATGACTCTTGTCACCATTATCTTTACTTGCCCTGGACAGAGCTCATTCTTCTCTTGATGAGGACCTGGAAAGACTGCTGCAGTCACCTGAGGAGAACGTGGCACTGCTGGACCCCTCCAAGGGCTCTACAAGGTTGTCTTTTCCCGTTAGGGAATCATTTCTTATGTTTCACAGAGGAGAACATACAAGGTGATATGTGCCTAGGGGATAGAATCCTAGGCTCCCAGTTTCTGTCTTTTTTTTCCCTAGGAAGTAATAGGCTTTTAGCTTGTTGGAGAATGAATATCTGGTGATGGCATTGCAGGGCTGTAGATCAGCCAGCCCTGACTCCCATGTGTCTTCACTCTTACACCTGCCTCTGCCTCCAATCTCCTACTCCCCAAGACACCAATTAGGAGACTGACAGCAGTTAGAGCTCTAAGATTGGATTTAGTCCCCCCCCACCTTCAACATTTCATCAGTCATTTGAGTTAAATCAGAAAGGCATAGATATCCAGTTTTCAGAGAACACAAATCTAAAAGTGAATGCTAATGTGATGAATAGACTTAAAATTCAAAATTATCTTGACAAGTGGAAATGTTAGTTACTCTAAAAGATAAAGACAAAGCCAGGCATAGCTGTTGCATGAACTTGTAGTTTTAGCTATTAAAAAACCTTAAGGGGGATGATTGTTTGAGCCCAGAAGTTCAAGGTCAGCCTAGGAACATTCTACAATGTCTCAAACAAACCAAAGTATAACAACAAAAATGGTAGGGTTAAGAAATTGGCAAGTTTTAGATTCAAAAACATACAGTGTGAGAAAGAAAGCCTAACTGGATAATTTTTTTTATTGGAAATTCTGTTCACTGTAATTATGTTGAGGGCAGGAAGTCTTAGTCCATATGGTCAGCACTTAGTTTCTAAAAAGGTCCATATAGCATTAATGCAGGGTACACAGAAATGAGTAAGTGCACCACAGGGAACGAATGCACTGTTGGAGGACTCCTACGATGCATTTCTAGTGGATGTTAGCAATCCACAGAGGGGACACAGAGTAGTCACGTCTGGAAACCAGGTCATATGAGAACATCTGAGGAGCCAGGGAGACTTGGCCTGAAAAGAGCAGAGGAGTGGAGAATTTGATAGCTTCCCTCAGATGCCTGAAATACTGTAAAGTGAAGAGAGTCTACTTACTGTCTTCTGCCCCAAAGGATGGAGCTGGTGACTAGATGTTGAAAAGTAACCGATTTTTACTAGTGAAGCACAAACTTTCTAGTGACCACAGCCATTACAGAGAGGAAACAGCCTTTCCATTTCAACAGTAGCTGCAGCTGCCCAAGTGGACTGGATGACTCTGTGGTCCTGAGTGTTTGGACAGAAGTAGAAGATCAACTTACAGGCCTTTGCCTCTGATTATGTTTGTGAAGGTTAACAGAGAAAAAGCCCCTTTTACTCTAGGTTACTTTATCTTCTCCCCCACCCTAGAGGGGTAGCTGTTTCTGCTCTTAAGGAGAATGTGGCTTCAACTGTGAGATGCTTATTTAGACTTCCCACATCACAGGGAGCTTGAGGGAGGTGAGGACAAGGGGGTAGTTATTTCAAAGAGAATGCTGATCATAATATAAGGAAAATACTTGTTTTTTCCCTTGGAGGCTAGCTATGCAGGTCTAATGGTTGAAGACAGACTGATTACACAGGCTTTCTGGGTTAGATCCTAGTTCTCAAACTTCTTAGTATGTCATTTCCTGTGCCTTAGTTTTCACATCACACAATGTTGACAGGTAGCAGGAACTACTTCAGAGAGTTCTGAAAATGAAGCGAGTTAACATATATTTAAACTAGCCTTGTCAGCATGGTGACACATGCCTTTAATCCCAGCACTCTGGAGACAGGCATGCAGATTGCTCCAAGTTCAAGGCCAGCCTGGTTTACTTAATGAGTTCCAGGCCAGTTAGGGCTGTCTAGGAAATCCTGTTTATAAAAAGTAAATAAATAAATAAATAGCTAGATAGATAAATAAATAATAAAAATGAAATAAAAATTAAAGATAAATAAAAATCAGAAATACATAAATAAATATACTGGCACTTGACCCTATAGGAACACCCCACCAGTACTAAGTACTCTATGTTTATTTTGGAGCATAGTCTTGTTCCCCTGACTATTATGTATGTGTTTAATTCACCAAATCATTGTCATTAAAGGGAGAAAAAAACCGAAGATCAAGACATTGTTGAGCAGAAGGACAAAAGGGAAGAAAGCAACAAGCTGGAGAGAAGGAACTCAGACAGCTCCTCAGGGGTGCTGGGAGAAGGTGTGGGTGAGTGATGGTTATGTAGTCTGCGTTCCTTTCCTGGGCTTGGGTGACCAGGGAAGGCTTATTTTCTTGTTTTGGTTTTTCGAGACAGGGTTTCTCTGTGTAGCCCTGGCTGTCCTAGAACTCACTCTGTAGACCAGGCTCGAACTCATAGAGATCCACTTGCCTCTGCCTCCTAGTTCTGGGACTAAAGGTGTGCACCACCACCACCTGGCCCATCAAAGCCTTTAAGGAGTATTTCCCAGATGCTGTATACGCAATCTTCCAATCTGTGGTAATGTCCTTTTCCTTGCAGTTCAGCTCAGCATTTCTGAGAATTGCCACCATAACTTCATCACAAAACAGTAACAACAAAATTTAGGTTTTTTTCTTCTTTAGTTGTTTTCTTGGGGGCGGGGAGGGGTTGGTTTTTTTTAAGACAGGGTTTCTCTGTGTAGCTTTGGAGCCTGTCCTAGAACTCACTCTATAGACCAGGCTGGCCTCGAACTCACAGTTCTGCCTCTGCCTCCCAAGTGCTGGGATTAAAGGTGTGTGCTACCACTGCCTGGTAGTTTTTGGTTTTTTTTCCCTTTTCTCCAAGACAGGCTTTCTCTGTGTAGCCTTGGCTGTACTGGAACTTACACTGTAGAGTAGGCTGGCCTTGATCCACCTGCCTCTGCCTTCCGAGTGCTGGGGTTAAAGGTGTGCTCCACAACCTCCTGGCTGTTCTTTAGTTTTGTGAGACAGCATCTCACTCCAGCCTCACTCAGCATCTCAAATTCAGACAGTCCTCTTACCTACCAGGTGCTGGGATTGTAGGCACAAGCTGACACTCCTGACTTTTTAGTTCTGTTTCTAAAACAAGCCATGGTCGAGCCTCAATTTGTACATTGTCTGTAGAGCTGGTTTGCATTTAAATATATTCAAAAGTGTTTTAAATTTAAGCTCAGTATGGTGTGATGCATGCCTCAGCACTAGGGGTAGAAGCAGGAAGATCACCCACGGATCTCAAGGCCAGCCAGGGATACCTTGTCTAAAAACAAAACAAAAACCAAGGGCTTTGAGAATGCTCAGTGGATCTTGCCGCCAAGCCTGAGGGACCTAAAGTTTGATCCCCAGAACCTACATAAGGAAACAAGAGATCCAGTTGCAGTAAAGTTGTCCTCTAACCCCCATATGCATGTGCGCGCGCGCGCACACACACACACACACACACACAAATGTAAGATAAAATTTTAAGAGTTTTAAATTTAGCTCACGTGGGTACTGAAGAAATCATATATTACAGAATTTAAGTCATGTAAAAGTTATAAATTAACCTTTATTTCAAAGTGATTCTAATAGAGTGTCAGGCTTCTAATTACCTTTACAAATGATCTCCTTCTATGTCTGTTTTACTCAGGGGTTAGATGGTCACCTTTTCAGGTCATCTAGTCTTCCTTGCATCCCTTCCCTAGTCCCTTTTCATTCTCCTTCTCTGCCCTGTGGACTGTATCTCCTTGGCTTTCTGTTATCCAACGGGGGCCCTAGCTAGAGATCAGAGGGCAAGAAAATTGTCAGTCACTTCCCTTTCCTACCTACATGAGCACCTTGCCTCTGGTCACCATGGTGTCCCTCCAAAGTATGCTATTTCCTAACCCCAGTTCCCCCCAGTTTCCAGTGACTGTCCTGCCGTCCCATCCACACTGCTCAGCTCCTTTCCACTGAGGCTTCCCACAGCTACTAGCCAATAGATGCCTTGGCAACCCTTCTTTGTTCCCTTAACTCTAATTATACCTTTGTGTATAGCCACTTTGTTAAGAAATCTTTATCTGTACCAGCTCTGTACACATTTTATTTCCTCTAGAACTCTGATTGGCATAGGGCCCAGAGTAGACGGACATTTATTTAGCCAAGATTGAATTCACTGAGAAGATAACTCAGGGAATTTGGAAAGGTAATGCAGGGACTTTGAATTAGTGTCACTGGTACCCATTGCTATCACAGGGAGCTAGCTATAGGATATTAGGAGAAGGAACCATTAGCTGTGTTTTCAGGAAAGCTGTATCTTTATAAGTAGAACAAATCAGTAAACAGCACAGTAAACTAAAGAGCATTCTAATGTGAATACTGAATTCTGACAGCTCTTGACCTAGAAAGTAACCAGGCTTTTTTTTTTTTTTCTTCCTCTTGTGTTTCATCAAGATGAACTAAAGCCCTGTTTTTGGAAGCGACTGGGTTGGTCTGAACCTTCCAGGTAATGAGATAGCATGTTTATAGGTCAGAGTTTGTTCTTTTTAGATTGCATGAGCAGACTTAAAATATTTACCAGTTTCTAAATAAATATTATTAACAGATTAAATTCACACCAAGCCACTAAATTTGTAGTTTTATATCTAAAATTGATAAATATAAGGTAAAATAATCCCAGCTTTGCTCAACTAAGTGACGTCTGCTCAAGACAGGTTTTCATACACAGGGAATATGAAAGATGCTGCTGTCGCCTGCTCTGTGGTCATCTTGCATTTCATGACATGTTGTTGATCATTATCTGCCTTGATTATACAGACAAAATTCCTTTTCTGTGACTTCAGCTGAATAGGAAGTGTGTGTGTGTGTGTGTGTGTGTGTTTGTGTGTGTGTGTACAGACATACACACTGGGCTTAGGATATGAGCTGAGTGGCAGAATGCTTGTCTGGTTTGTGTGAGGCCTGGGATGTGATCCCAAGTACTGCACAAGAATTTTTAAAATTATGTGTGAACTCAGAACTTCTCTTTTTTTGTCCTTTCAAATCTGTGCACACAGGATAATTGTGCTGGATCAGAGCGACTTGTCAGAGTGACTGGAACTGGATCGGAGGCGGTTCCAGCCTGAGTTCAGGTGTTGTGGCTTGTGGCCTCCTTTCTTCTTTTGTCTGCATCAGTTGCCTCGAGGACAGTGATTCCAGTTCTGTAACTCACACTTTGTTCTGCTGCTACTGTGGGCACAATAATGTGGCCCCATAATGTGGAGCATGCTTAATCATTTGTTTTGAATCAGGTTTCTGAAAAGTGCAAGGTGACCATAATGGCAAACATCTTATTGTGTTCAGAATGGCTTTTGATTTTATTGATGTAAGTTTTTGAAACGAATTTTGTTACATAATAAAATGTTTACTTTTAATACTAGTTAGGTGCCAATTGTGTAAGATCTATTTCTGGGCTTTAGTTTGGGGATTGGGAAAATTGCTGCATTTCCCTTCTGTCTAGAACCAGCTTACTGGGAGATAGCAACGAAACCCTAATTAATTTTGAACTTTTTAAGATGAACAACACCATCTCCACATATTTTGGATATACACCTCACATCATCAGTGTATTGGAAGAATGGAACTGTGATAAAACTAAAATCACAATGTTTTCTCTCATTTAGCCTCTCTGTGACTATTAGCCAGATCCAGATGTGTTTCCAGACTGGGATCTAAAGTATTCGTGTCCATGTAGAATTTTCACATATGAATAGCAACTTTTCTCAGAAGCACTGCACTGTTGTGCAGTACTGGCATTTTATTTTGTCTTGGTAGGTAGTAGGTCTTTGTTGTGAAAACCTGATAGTTCCTATTGTGGATGATCATATTCATACATTTTAGATTACAGAAAATTTTCCCTGTACAGATAAAATAGAAAGTACACATTTGTTTGGTTACTTTCAAACAAAGAAACAGTTGCTTACTGTTGTAACCAGAGGAAACAAATAAGTTGCCTGGGTGTGTGGTAGCTCATGAATGCCTGCAATTCCAGCACTTGGAAGGCTGAATCAGAGGCTTGCCTTGATTCAGGCCAGTCTGGGATACAGTGTGAAACCAAAGAAAGCAAGCAACAGGGGGCCTGCAAGATGGCTCAGTGCTAAAGGCACTGGGCATCACGCCTGACAGCCTGATTTGATCCCCAGGACCTGTGTGGAAGATGGAGAGAGCTGGCTCTCAATTCTCCACACACACACACAGTGAATAAACAAATACGATAAAAATTGTAAAAGCAAGCAAGCAACAAAACAAAACCACTCCCAAGTTTACAAATAACACTACATGTAAGGAACAGTGAGGATATAGAGACTTATGGTACAGTTTTCCTCTCAAAAAACTTAATCTATTTGATGAGACAATTATATGTAAGAATGTGAAGACTAATAGCAGACACTACATGAGAAGTGGATGGCTTATATAATTATAACATTATCAATTCATAATCATTAAGATCACACTAATGCCTACAGATAAGAATTGTAATTTAGGCTGGGTATGGTAAGCACACACCTGTAATCCCAGCACTTGGGAGGCAGAGGCAGGCAGATCTCTGAGTTTTAAGCCAGCCTGGTCTACAGAGTTCCAGGACAGCCAGAGCTATTGTAGAGAGACCCTGTCTCAAAAAGCAGAAAATAAAAAAAGAATTGTAATCTATCTAGGGAATAGACTCCTCTCTGTGGCCTGTGACTATGAAGTACAGGTCAATACTGATACTCATAATGTTGGTAGAAGGCACTTAAGGGTTCTAGAGTAACCACTGTGTACCAGACACTGTGCCCATCAAGCCTTTTCTTGCACACGGGAGCCATACCATTTCTTTAGGGCGCTGCTTCTCTCACTCTTGTCAGCCATTTCAAGCTTCAGCCCCTCATTTCCCATTGACAATCAATTACTCTCACATCTGACTTTATAAAGAAAGTACAAGCCATTAGGTGACAATTAACTCAGCTTCCCATCATCACAACTCATAGCACGACCACATCAATCTCTGTGGACGAACAGATGCAGTTTTTTGTTTTTGTTTTTCCCGAGACAGGGTTTCTCTGTGTAGTTTTAGAGCCTGTCCTGGATCTCGCTCTGTAGACCAGGCTATCCTTGAACTCACAGAGATCCGCCTGCCTCTGCCTCCTGAGTGCTGGGATTAAAGGCGTGTGCCACCACTGCCTGGCTATATGCAGTCTCTCTTAAAGTACAGACCAGTGTATTCTATATGTACTTATTCTTCTCACTTTCTCTTATCCTAACAGAATGTCCTTCCTATCCCAGGACACTCTTTCATCTCTGTCCATTCAGAGTTTTCCTTCATTCGTAGTGTTTTTCTTTTTAACAACTTCAACTTTTATTAGGAGATATGGCTTTGTTGGAGTAGGTGTGGCCTTGTTGGAGGAAGTGTGTCATTGTGGGGGTAGTCTCTTTTGCCCAAGCTTCGCTCAATGTAACTTATAGACCACTTCCTGTTGCCTGCAAGCCAAGATGTAGGACACTTGGCTACTTCTCCAGCACCATGTCTGCCTGTACAATTGATATGCTCCACCTTGATGATAATGGACTGACCTCTGAGCTGTGAGCGAGCCACTACAATTAAATGTTTTCCTTTATAAGTGTTCTTTTGTACACTGTGAAGATTTGTCGCTGTGATTGGTTTAATAAACAAGCTGAGTGTCCAATAGCTGAACAGAATAAGGTTAGGTGGGAAAGCCAAACCGAGAGTGCTGGAAGGAGAAGGGCAGAATCTAGAGCTGCCAACAGATACAGAGAGAACAAGATGGGCACTCTGCCCTGAGAAAAGGTACCAAGCCACCTGGCAAAGCATAGATAAAAAATGTGTTAATTTAAGTGTAAGAGTTAGCTAATAACAAGCCTGAGCTATTGGTAGAGCATTTATATTAAGTCTCTGAGTCAATTATTTGGGAAGTGGCTGCCAGTTATTTGTTAGCAGGCAATCAGGACAGGAGAACTCCACCTACACTGGTCATGTTGTCTCTTCACAGCAATAGAAACCCTAACTAAAACAGGCCATTCTCATCTCGTAGGTTTGGGGATCTGAACTCTAGTCCCCATAATTGTGCATCAAATGCTTTGATCACTGAGCCATCTCCCCATTCCCAAACTTTCTTCTTTATTCATTGCCTTCCATAAGCATTGACATGTAGATTTTCTTATCTTTAAAAATCATTCCCTGAGCTGGGCCTGGTGGTGTGGTGCATGCCTGTAATCTCAGCAGTTAAGAGTCAAAGGCTAGAAGATTGCAGTTTGGAGGCCAGGTTGGACTACAGAGTAAGTTCCAGACCAGCCTGACTACAGAAAGCAACAAGATGGGTTATAGAGATGGTTCAGCATTTAAGAGAACTTGCTGCTCTTTCAGAGGTTTGGCATGCAGTTCCTAGCACCTGTATCAGGGAGCTTACAACTGCCTATAAGTCCAGCTCCAGGAGATCTGACATCTTTTTCTGGTCTTCACAGGTACCCAGATACATGTGGTGCACTGTGGGGGACCAGCCCCCACATTTATTTACCCCAGGGACTTTTGAGGAATGAGGCATAACAGATTTAGTTAGAAATAGAGGGAAGAGAAACAGAGAGAAATGGGTGGGCCTGGATCCGTACCCACGGGCCCAGAACTTTATTCCAAAGGTCTATTTATAACAATGCCAAGGGGTGGAGCAAAAGACCTCCCCCTTGCTAATTACAGTCAAGTGTAGACCCTTACAAACACCTGGTACCCAAGTCCGTGGTCCAGTCAACCTCTTATGCAGTCCTGCTGGGTACAGCCACTAGGAAACCTAGTGGGCTCCAACAGTGCACACATACACATAAATTAAAATAATAATAATAAATCTTAGCCAGCTATGGTGGTGCATACCTTTAATGTCTGAACTTGGGAGGCAGAGGCAGGCAGATATCTGTGAGTTCAAAACCAACCTAGTTTACAAAATGAGTTCCAGGCCAGCTAGGAGCCATATAGTAATAGAACTTGTCTCAAAACAAACAAACAAACGAACAAAAGCAATAAAAATAAATCCTAACGACAAATTAAGTGGCAGAGAGCTTACCTCACATGTGTGAGGCCTCGGGTCCCATCCTCAGCACTACATAAACAGCATGTCCTGGATTCCACCTCTTTCAGCCGCTGACTTCTCTCATTGCAGGTCTGGAAACACTACACTTGATATCTTTGGTACCTCACCTCCCTATCTCTCCTCAGCACACTACAATCTGAATCCCACTTCCATTCTCTAGAAGTTCCTCAGGGCACCAGTGTCTTCTGTATTTCTAACTCACAGTCACTTTCGCCCCATTGTTAATTGCTCACTCACTCCACCCATTTCCTCCGTTTCATCGATGTTGTTATACTCCTGGTTTTTCTGTCTGATTATTCCACGTCAGCCTGCACCTCTAGCTTGTCTCTGAGTGGTCTTCCCAGGTGACTGTGGTGGCTTTAATGAGAATGTCCTCATACGCTCTTAGGTTTGCATGCTTCGTCCTCAGTTGTTTGGAAGGATTGGGAGGTGTGGCTTATTGCAGTAGGTCTGTCACTGGGGGTGGGCTTTGAGGTTTCAAAAGCCCATGCCAGGCCCAGGTCTCCCCCAACCTCCTCCCTGCCTGTGGATTAGGATATAAAGCTCTCAGTGTGGTGCCTGTCTGTTTCCTGCCGTGATGATTGTGGACTAACCCTCTGAAATTGTAAGCAAGCTGCCAATTGAATGCTTTCCTTTGTAAGAGTTGCCTTGGTCATGGCTCTTCACAGCAATAGAACAGTGACCAAGACAGTGACCTAGTTTACTTCCATGGGTCCAGTTAGTGTGTGTGTGTTCCAACAATCCCAGATCTGCGTTGTGAGTCTAGGGCTAGGCCTCTCTCTGAGCTCATGTGCCTGTCCATACATTCAGTGTCTCCTTCGGATTTCTTTCTGCTGTCTCACAGATACAGCCAATATTGAACTCACAATCTTAGCTTCATTTGCTTTTAGATTCTCTTTCCAATCAGTTGTGTTAGTGTTCTGTTATCCACTCAAACCAGAGAGCCAGAAACCGTCCTTGACTCTCATTACTTAACTCATTACATCTAAAAAATCAAGTCCCATATGGGTGGCACATACTTTTAATCCCAGCACTTGGGAGGCAGAAGCAGATGGGTTTTTATGAGTTGAAAGCCATCTTGGTCTACAGAGTGAGTTTCAGGACAGCCAGGGCTACACAGAGAAACGCTGTCTTGGGGGAAAAACAATCACTAAGGACTTACTTCAAGCTGGCTGTGGTGGCACAGGATTATAACCTTAGCACTTTGGAGGCCAGTCTGGGCTAGTGTGAGAAAACAAGGAACAACAACAAAAAACAGCAGTAAAGAACTCCCCCAGACAAACAAAAACCTT